TGTAGGATGTTTTGTGGAATCTCATCATATCCCTTGGAATTATTCCATTTTAATGACTTGATTATATCTTTAATTTCTCTTTTAGTTACTGGGGTCATATTTATGTTTGGAAACGGTTGTTTATACACCTCAAAAAGGTAACTTAAGGAGTTAGATACATTAGTAGGTTTGTTAGATTGCATTTGATTTGGTGGCATTATAAAATAATTATTAAAAATACTGGCCATAGTTTGTGGTTTATTATATGATTTCCCATCAATACTTACTGATGATATTATATTTTTGCTTGACTTGGTATTAGTTATAGATCTAATGATACCCCAAGTAGTTTTAATTTTATTTTTAGAATTTATAATAAGCCTACTATAATGATGCTTCTTTGCTAACTTTATGATATCAGATAAAATTTTACAATATTTCTTGTAGTATCTTACTAATTCAGGATTGTCAGTGTTTCTGCTAAGCACATACAATTCTCTTTTACGTGCACATGATGTTTTGATTCCAGTTGTTAACCAGGTTTTATTTTTTTGTTGAGAGAAATGTTTTTATAAGGAAAACTATGATTAAATATTATTAAATAGATATTAAGAAAATTATTAAACATTAGATTCACATCATCCTCAGTAAATATGTCAGCCCAAATATCACAATTAAGATTTAGCTTGAATTCTAATTTAGTATATTCATTTATGTCTCTTGTACTAACAGAATAATTAGGTGAATTCATGAATTTAAGATTATTCAATGTAAGAATTTGAGCATTGTGGTCTGATAATCTATTTGACAATGAATTTATTGAATAAATTTCATTTATATGTTTATCAATAAAAATAATTGTCAATAGCTGTAGCCGAAAAATTGGTAACTCTAGTGGGAAAGTCGACAATATTACATAAATTGTATGAAGCTAACAGAGAAACCAATTTTTGCTTCTTAGTATCGCCATCATCTAAATATATAGACTTGAAAGGATTCTGAGGATGGTGTATACTGTACTTCTTTTGGCTTATTTTTGACTTCATCCATCGTCTGGTATGTAAAAGACAAAAGACCACAACGTTTCGGAGACTGGATCTGTTTCCATCTCCAGGTGGATAGGGAAGGATAAACCTACTCAGCTGGGCCCATTAGAAAGAGCTAGTCTCAATCACTGGACAAACCCTGATCTGTGGAAAAACAACCTATGAACAACCGACAACCGGTTCCATCAGTGGGAGAAAAGAATAAAATCACAGTAAAGCCATGATAGAAAATTTGTGCCAAGGATGCACTTGTCAACAATGTAAAGAAACAGAAGTATAGGTTAAATTCCATGAATTCAGTTAAAAACGAAAGTAAAAACTGGATAATGCATGCCTAATCTGCATGGATAAAGAATCGTGCCACCACGGCGACTTCTGGGAATCAGACTAATCCCCGGAACAAAACTTGCAGGAGTAGTGGAACCACTAATATTCATAAAATTGCATTTTTGATTTGTTAACCTCTTCATTGATGAGGGGGATCCATATGGGAGAAATATCCAAACTGGGTTGGCTGATTGGATTGGATGAACATGCCATATGAGCTGATGCTTTGTACTTTCTGTATCTGCTGTTACTTTCAACCTCCAAGATCCTAGCTTCATCCCAGCTTACCCTGTGACCTTCTTCATATGCATGCTGAGCCAACCTGGATTTCTCTAGAAGACCCTGCTTGAGATTGTGCCTGTGTTCACGGATTCGAACAGCCAGTGGTCTGCCTGTTTCACCAATGTAGCTTCTGCCACATTGACAGGGATTGCTGTAGACGCACTGTGCCGTCTGTTGAGGATCCCTTTTTGGTCTCGTTCTCACAAGCGAAGATTGTAAAATGTGTCTAGTTCTGAAGATGGTCCTAATATTATACTGGACCGTCTTCAAAAATAGACACACTTTACGATTTTTGCTTTTTATTACTTAATAATTTTATTTATTTATTTATTTATTTGTTTTATTTTATAAGTATTTTATTACTTAATTTATAAATAGCCTCTTCAGTAGACAGTCCCTTTTGGAATCCAAACTGCTGGGTGAGTAATATTTTGTGTGTTGTAATATGATCATTGAGTCTTCTATAAATTACCATTTCAAATACTTTAGCAAACCCAGTTATTATTGATATTGGTCTGTAATTTTGTATACTTGTTTTGTCTCCTTTTTTATGTATTGGATTAATCACTGCATATTTGAGTCTTTCAGCATATACGCCCATTGTTCTTGAGTTATTGATTATATAAGCTAAGGGTTTACTTATTTGTTATCTACACATTTTTATTAATTTGTTGGTTATACCATCATATCCTGAAGAGTTTTTTAATTTGAGCTTACTAATCACCTAATTATCTTGTCTTCAGTGACTAAATTAAAGTTCATAGCAGGGAAACCATTTGGACAATAAGTATACAAATAATTCATTGCTACATGTGAGTTAGTTTTCTTTATATTGAAATTTTCTGTTATTGATGAAAAATATTTATTAAAACTATTGGCTGCTTCATCAATATTTACTTTTACAGTATTGAGTTGATATGATTTAGGTAAATTATCTTTGCTGCTTTTATTCTTCCGTCCCATTCCCCTATTAATAATGCTCCATGTTGTTTTTATCCTATCCTCCGCTGATACGATCAGTCGATTATAATGCAATCTCTTCACTTCTCCTATTACTCTTCTTAGTATCCTACAGTAGGTTTTATAATAAGATTTCAATAGATTATCATTATTTTTACTAAGAGAATACAAAAATTCTTTATGTGTACAGGAGGTGCGTATTCCCACTGTTATCCATCAATTATCATTCTCTTTCTTAATTACATTTTGCTTGAGAAAACATGATTCATAAATAAGCAAATACTTATTTAGAAAAGAATTATCTGCTTCATTAACTTCATTTGATTGATAAATATTTTCCCAACTTTCATTTCCTATTTTTTCTTGAAATTGTACTATTGAATCTTTGTTTACAATGCTAATCGTAGTTCCAAGAACCTTATGCATGTGCAGACTGCTAATATTCTTCAATATAAGACATTGTGCATAGTGATCTGACAAACCATTGGCAATCGAGACATCATAATACGAATTTCTCCTTCTATTATCAATAAGAATATTATCTATTAGAGAGCTACTGCTCTCAGTTATTCTTGGTGGAAACTGCACAGTGCTAAAAACGTTAAATGATTGTAACAGCAACAGCAACTTTGTCTTATGCACTTTATCATTTAGAAAATTTACATTAAAATCACCATGTATTATAAATTCGGTTTTTATTCTATGTAGAAATTTTAGTACTTTTTCAAGCTCGTTTATAAAGTACTCAAAGTTTCCACTTGGTGACCTATATACACTTATCACTAGTAAGATTTGTTTCGCTATCATGATCTGAAGCGCGCATATTTCCAAATTTTGTTTTTTTTTGTCACAAAACTGGGCCAGACCTATAGCAACAAATTTGATAGCTTGTCTAACATATATACAAACCCCTCCTCCTTGATGAAATTTACATGCATATTGCAATATGATAATGTGACGTCCATCATATGATGTTCAGAGAGACATGTTATGTGAGGGCTTAAGTTTCTTGTTACTAATGAACAATTCAGTTCATCAATTTTGTTTGCAAGACCTCTGATATTTTGGTTTTTGGCTTGCTTACATATGTTTAATAGTGACTTGCTTGGTTTAGATTCTACACCCATAACAAATCATCATTTCTTACTGGCGGTCTCCTTTTCCTCCTATTACAATGAGGAACTTCTTGGCTAGGCGATACACCTTAGTTTTCCTTATCTGTATTAGTTTCACCGTTCCTTCTCTCTTTTTCATCCCGGTTGGGTGAACCATTCCTTGGGGCTGCTTTGGTTACAAGCTCTGATCCTGTTGGTTTTGCTTGCTCGGTCAGGGCAGTTTCCCGCATCAGGGGGATAACTTCAGTTTTTAACTGTGATTCACATTTCCTTGTATAAGAGAAGATACTTTCGCTGCCATTGCTATTTTACCTTTTGTATTATAATGAAGTCCATGGCTCGTATAGTGTCCTCTTTCCATGTCAGCTTTAACTAAGCTTACTTTATTTAGATTTTTTACCACTTTAATTAATCTTCTGTTAAATCTCTTTATTTCCTTGTTAACACATGAGCTAAAATTTAAGTCATATCTATGGGGTACTGTAATTACTATGGTATTGGTGTGGTGATTACTCATCAAATAGTTCACTTCATGGATAAGTCCATTCCTTGCATTATTTTTTGATACGTCGATTGCACCACCCAAATAAACAAGGATATCCTTTTGCATTAATTTATTCACATCTGCCTAGCAGTAACTGTCAGTTGATTTATACGTGCATCAGGTTTCACTATTCCCATTATCTCATAAGAATCACCCAGGTTGTGCCTAAGCTCACTAGAAAGTCCCTTAATGTGACTATCACTGATAAGCAATATTTTACATTTCTCTGGTTGTTTGATAGATTTATTTTTACACCATTTAAAACTCCCTGTAGTTGCTTATACGTTATATTGTTTTCAAACGTTCCTGTATTCTGTTTGTTTATTTTGTCTCCTACTATATTCCTGGAGGTTATGGTAGTTGGAATAATTGAAATATCTTCTCCATTACTCTCTTCATTCACTTTTGTGTGCCTAAGAGCTTCTGAATAGGTTTTCTTGAGTAAAGCACCAGGATTGCTAGGTTTTGGGGCTTTGTCCAATGTATGGTACTCTTAAACACCAGAACACGATGTTTCGGAAACTGGATCTGTTTCCATCCTCATGTGAGGGTAAGAACACCTGCTCTGTTGGGTCAGTTAGAAAGAGCTGACCTCAGTCAATGGACCAGGAACACAATAATCCTGAGTGTTCCACACCATTGTGAGAATACTTTAGAATCTACCATCATATTCTGTTATTTATCACTTAGCCTTTAAAGGTATTTATGTGCACATATTTTTCTGTAATGAAACTGAAACATTTGTAGGTTCCTCATATTGGAGGTATGCTGCATCACAGTCTCCTCAGGTTCCTGCCTCCTATCCGAAGCTAATAACAGTGTGGGGTGGCATTGAAGGTGTTGTGGATGATGTGCTATATGTCAGTAGCGGATACGTCTACTTCTTCATGAATGGCACCTACTCTCGGTACAACTGTGCAACTGGTGGGGTAAGAGCAGCTCAATACTGAACTTTTTTTTTAAATGAAAGTGACAGAATGCACAATTGAATGGAATAGCACTTGTGCTTTGTGTTGGGAAGTTCTTAGCTCAGGGTCCAGCTATCTTGGTTGAGACTTTTCATATATTTTCTCAGTTCCTTGAGGCAAGTACTGAGGTGGTACCTTGAATTATGCCGCGTCTTATTCCTTTTTTGTCTTTAAAGTTCGTTATTCACTAACGACCCCACAGCCTTACTTACAGACAGCATTATTAAAAGACCATAAATAAATACATTTTAGATGGAAACATATGAAATGTGATAAGGTATTCAAGGATGAATATTTTTATTCTTGCTCCATTCATCACTTTTAAGTTCCACCAACCCTGCTGCTGTTTGTCTTTGTGTCAGCCATTTTTAGCTGTTGGCAGTAGTTCAGAGTAAAGAAGTAGATAGCACACAAAGTTTGCAAACTCATTGCAGCAGAAGTGCTACATAACTCATGAATATCACTGTGGGAAGCTATGCATCGATGCCAGCGCCTAGTTCACCCTTCAAAACAATTTTGGAACTGGTTTTGTGGAATGGCCTTCAGAGCTGCCATCATGTTACTCCTGATGTCATCAATGTCATCAAAGTGCCTTCGTTTCAATATTTCCTTTATCTTTGGGAACAGAAAAAAGTCATTGGGGGCCAAAGCCGGTGACTAGGAAGGGTGTTCCAGCACAGTTATCTGTTTACAAGCTAAAAACTCCCTCACATAATCAAATCTTCATCTTCATCTTTATTAACATCCGTTTATTAACATCAGACAATAATAGACACCACTCAGAAAGAGACTGCCATAGATTAACAACAACAACACAGCTGTGAAACACTGATATGCCAACGTCATCAAACAATACTGAGGTTTTTCCCACTGCTGCCACGGCCAGCACATTGTGGTGAGTTTGCAAACTTTATTTTCAGACCTCGTATATCCAGAAAATCACGAAGTGGAGTTACTGGCGCTGTGTAGTGACAGAAATGCATTATTTGCTCAGAGTGCTTTCAGAAAAAGAAAATTATTGACCTTGTCAAAACATAGTCTCAGGCTACCAAATCACATATGATAGTTTGCCATTGCACATGTAAAGTACTAAGCCCATTTATGAGAGCAAGGGTATTACAAGCAATTCCACATTGTACACATGACAGTGGTCTTTTGTGGCTTGATGCAGTGAACCAAGCAGTTCCATCATTATGAATAACTAATGTTGAGTCTCTGTATTTTGGTTTCTTCAAGTGTAGCCTGAAAATTTCTTTGATGTTTGTAGTATATCAAATTAGCAATGTAATCAGAGTAAATACATTGTCATGGGAGCTGAGCAAAGGTGGATTGTGTCTCATAGTCTCTATATGCCCCTTGTTCTGATTGGATTGTTCATGGGTGAGCTTGCTCTTCATCGTCAGTGGAGCAGTTTTCTGAACCAACTAGTCAGTATGAGGGGCACACAAGGACTAGGTGATATTATGCCCCTATGCTCAGCTCTTGTGATTGTTTTTTTGTTATGAATCATTTGCCAATTTAATAGTCACCGCTAAGGCAACGAATGGTCCCAGGTAAAGATATCATGAACTTCACTACAACTATAAAACTCCATGGAGCAGAAGCTAAACCCATTACAAAAGTTCTTGGTAATCGACAACCCAACCTTAAAGGATTTTACATTTTAATAATTTATAATTGAATATATATATATATATATATATATATATATAAAAGACACATATTAATTGTGGNCAAACAAACAAACTCCATGTAAGATTTGAGGCTTTCACGGCGGTGACTATGAAGAAAGCAGTCTTCTGGGATTTGGCACCGTGTATATGTGGTGTTAACCGACGTTTCGGAGGAACGTATCGCCTCCATCTTCAGGGTAGAAGAAAAAGTATAAGAAATCTGCAAGCAACAAGACCGTGAGAACGGTAAAAGCAGTCTGCTTTTACCGTTCTCGCCTCCCTGAAGATGGAGGCGATACGTTCCTCCGAAACGTCGTTTAACACCACATATACACGGTGCCAAATCCCAGAAGACTGCTTTCTTCATAGTCACCGCCGTGAAAGCCTCAAATCTTACATGGAGTTTGTTTGTTTGTTAACCTTATTAACCTTAGAACAAATTGTTGTATAGACAGAACTCCATATCATAATTTATTACCGTGTTCATATGAGCCTGCCGCTAGTCCGTAACCTGATCCAGACAAATGGAGTCCACGCCCTGTGTTTTAAGATCTGTCTTACTGTTGTCATGCCACTGAAATACTAATAGAAAATGACACCTGTTCACATTCTTGGATCTTATTTATTACTGCCGCCACTAGATGTTTTAAGTAATGGAACTGCACATGTGTGCACACATCAGCCTGTGTTCTGTCCTATTCCAAGCTCATCACTTGTGTGCACACCGCCTAGCAGTTCACTTCTGAGAAGTAACACCATCTATGCTTAAATCTTCCAAATGTTCTATTTTACCTTTATTAATTTAGTTGTAATGTTTCATCTGTAGTTGATCTTATGTATTACGTGAATGAGACATGAAAAGAATTGTAATTGAAAAAGTTAATTTTCTGAAGCATCTTCTCTAATGATGAACTCAGCATATTGTGATCTCCTGGCTTATGGCAGTGAATATGCAGGTAGGTGGGTGCAAGTGTTTAAAGTTAATATACTTGCCTTCAGCATATGAATAGAAGTGAACCCTATGGCCCTCTGCAGTATTGGCATCCACCTACCACATTGTAGTATCATAGTGCAGAAGACCACAATATGAATCCTCATCACCATGAACGTCTCAAATCCCACGTAGGAACTCAGCAAGTTATACAGTTCCCTTGGTATTACTAAATCAACTGAACATGTCACTGAGATAGGGGAAACAGGGCACACAGGATTTGGAAGATCTCTTGAAAGACAGGAATTGGATTGGCAAAGGAAACAGGAATGTAACATTGTAAAAGATTTAGCAAACGTTTTAGGGCTGTGAACTGGATGTAGTGGCTCAAGATAAGGTATAGTGGAATTTGTGTCAGATCCTTTGATTAATTCACAGAGCCTGTTGGGTAGCTCATTACTCAAAGTGAACTCTGGTTTCAGATTGACCATGCACATCACAATCAACCAGATTATCCTCGTCCTGTTGGTCGATGGTGGTTTCAATGTGATAGAAATGTAGCAGAAGAAAATGTATCATCCTCTAACCCATTCACCATTAATAGTACAGAAACAACCATTGAGGATACAGCTGTCAGCAGTACTTCTAGCCCTACAACCATTGAGGATACAACTGTCAGTACAACTGCTAACCCTACAACCATTGCAGATAAAACTATCAGCACTATTGCAAGTCCTACAACCACTGAGGATACAGCTGTCAGCACTACTGCTAGCCCTAGAACCATTGAGGATACAGCTGTCAGCAGTACTGTTAGCCCTACAACCATTGAGGATACAGCTGTCAGCACAACTGCTAGCCCAGCAACTATAGAAGGTACAACTGTCAGCACTACTGCTAGCCCAGTGACTATTGAGGATACAACTGTCAGCAGTACTACTAGTCCTACAACCACTGAGGATACAACCATCAGCAGTACCACTAACCCTACAACCATTGAGGATACAACTGTCAGTACAACTGCTAGCCCTACAACCATTGAGAATACAACCATCAGCAGTACTGCTAGCTCTACAACCACTGAGGGTACAGCCGTCAGCAGTACTGCTAGCTCTACAGTCAATGAGGGTACAACTGTCAGCAGTACTGCTAGCTCTACAACCATTGAGAATACAACCATCAGCAGTACTGCTAGCTCTACAACCACTGAGGGTACAGCTGTCAGCAGTACTGCTAGCTCTACAACCATTGAGGGTACAGCTGCTAGCTCTACAATCATTGAGGGTACAACTGCTAGCTCTACAACCATTGAAAGTACAACTGTGAGCATTACTACTAGCCCTACAGCTACCCAGGGTATGGCAACCATTAGAAGGGTTTCTGTGTCATCCACCTCTACTGACAGTGACTTTCCACCTGATGCTCCTGATGCTGAATGATGTAAACATGATTGCAGCTGTGATTGTTTCAACTGCCAGGTATTCATTTGAACCACTAGGGATATTGTGAGGACCTGTAGTTTGTTAAGTGCTACCCCATGATGCTGTAGAGTATGGTGGACAGGTACTAAATGCTTTGGAGGAACATGCTGCGTCCACCTTGAGGATCCAAGTTGACATGGCATCACATACCAGATGAACAAACATAATCTTAACTCCCTTTCAAGTGTCCTGAAAAAAATCAGGTAAATTTCCACAGAATTCTCTGCTGTTTGTAGGATTCACCATTGTTAAATGAATAAGACAACTGGTGGGACCCACGGTTATTCTTTTAATCTCCGTCCAGAAATTGAATCCTTACCATGGAATTGGGCCTTTGCACTTCAGGAGCCAATTAATTCATCTCAGCATGCTCACATTAAAACTGCCACAGCTGAAGACATCAGCTCAGTGTTGATCAGCTGATACAGCATTTCTGTCACTAGGTGGCTTTAAATGTGATAGAGTGATGGTTAGGGGAAAAACAGGCTTTCAGGCTATCTGTATTTGTGGTCACTTGAAGAAATCTGAGGAAGTATTGTGGGTTTCTCTGTGCTGTCACACTTAACCCCAAGCGGCCTTGGAATTTGTGGCAGGGCTTGGTAATCAAAGGTCTGATAGCTTAGAACTTCACCGAATGAGCTGCTGTAGCTCCACTGAACTTCCTTTCTGGGATGTGTCTGTGTTGAAAGTCTTGATAAATAACTGAAAAACTTAAATAACCCCATGGAATGAAGCCCTTATTCAGAAGTTAATAGATGCTCAGCTGCTTGAGAAATTCTGAGCATTTAATGGAACCTGAAAGTTCACAAGGCCCCACTACCATTCCCTATCCTGAGACAAAAGAATTGAATTTATACCCTAAAAAACGCTTTATCCATTCTCATGGAATTTTGTAGTGGGTATTCTAGCAAACTATAGTATTAAGTACTCTAGTGCACACGTATGCACATATTGGTTTATGCTGTGCCGCAAAAGAATCCCATCCAGCATTACAGCCGCATGCCTGACAAGTGAAGAGTCCTAACCATTTTTTATCAGGGCAGTAAAAAAGTTGTCCCTTTGCTTAACTAATTTTCCACTACACCATGAAGACATATGGGGGAGTTGATGTATAGATTACATTTTCTTGACCCAGACACTAGTTGGAGGTGAGTGGTCAGCTTCACGCCCCGGCCGTTTCACCCCAGCGGAAAGAACCACCGGTATCCATTGGATATGAGGCTGGGTGGGGCCCACAGCCGGTTTGGACAGCACGGAGAAACTTCTTGACCCTAACGGGACTCGAACTCCAACTACCAGGCGCTATGCCGGCTCCTTATCAGGGTCGATCAGGCTAGTGCCCTGGTGTTTATTTAGTGCGGCTGAAAAATAAAACACACATCTTCGTACGTTGGTTTCCTCCATCACCTATAGCATATATGGCATATATAGTGTGGACGGTTCAGTAGTGTAAAGTGCTGCTACCTATGGCAAGCTCTCATAATTACTTGTTACTACTGTTGGTTTAGTCGGTAGCGCAGAGTGTTATCATGTTAGGTACAGCAAATTTTAATCGGAAGAGATCCCAGCCCCATACTTAACCTTCGATTTTTATGCCTGGCTTATTTTTTCTATACGTATGGAAATAGAACCAAGGCAATTTTAAATTGTAGCATTAACGTAGGATTTGAGATTCTCACAGCGGTGAGTGTGAAGAGTTGTGTATTCTTCGATATAACGCCGTGCAGTCCATTGAAAGTCAACCGACGTTTCGGAAGAATATGTCTTGACCCAGGGCCGAAGAATAAGCCAAGCAAGAAAAGAGCATGAAGTAGGTAGCAAACAAATTGGTAGCTTTATGCCAAATAGCAACCTTAAATGAGATCTCGCATTTAATTTGTGGGATGCTTTTCCTTTAGTTTGAAACCTCAACTTCCCAGGCCAGGGGATGCGAATGACGTGTGTGGCAAATGAAGGAGAGGAGTAAATACAGGATGTGTGTGGGAAAAACATCACCATGATCAGGAAAACGGATGTCCCAGCTGATGGACTGCCTCGTATTCTTTAGAACTGTTTTGAACATGTATAAGAATTCCAAGGCTAGACCTGATAAACCAATTCAAAGTTCAGCTCACGTTTCGTCATAAAATTCCGGTGCCACGACTTGATTTGTTCATGCATCGTAATGTTGAGCATGGCTGTACGGTCTGTGCGTTTCATTCATACTTGCGGCCTCCTTTGGTAGGGAGGGGGGAGGAGGTAGAGAGTGTTCACACTACTATAGCCTGAGAATATACACGAGCATGCATGCGTGAACAATATAATATGACGGGAGCAAAGACACGTAATTAGTGGGGGGAGAGTCTTTGTTTCTTGCTTTCCTTAGAACAAACTGTTTAACATGCCGTGGAATTTTATGCCCCCGATTGTACCTATTCATAATGGTCTCTTTGTAGATAGCATGGCAGTCACGGTTTCGAGTTTTGTATAATCGCGTCTTTCTTTTCAGTAAACATGTTCTGGAGCCTTATCATTTAGTGGAGACCGGAAATGTAATGCAAGAGGTGTGGTCGCCCTTTCCACTTTCCCCTTCCCCCTCGCGTTTGTGACTGCAACGAAAATGGGGGTAAAAGGAAGTTGCGACATTCAGGAAGTCGTGGCAAGCCCAATGGAGTGGGAGGGACAAGGCGGGCGAGGGGCTAGCCAACTCTCAGCCAACCTTCATTCACAGCATTCTATTGTCAGTCGCTTGCAGCGGGATGGAGTCAATATGGCGGAAGGAAGAAGGAAAGTTCGTGTTGAGGAGCGTCTGAAAATAAAGATTGGTGAGTTGTGTTAACTTTAATATATTTGTTTTTGGGAATTATAATTCATAGTGATTTTCCAGATCATTTAGGAAGACTGTGGTTCATCGCCAGATTACTACACTACACTTATCTAACGTGACTCGATGTTTGTCAACACGTTTCTGAACAGGTGGTGTGAATGCGATAAACACGATCGTGCGAAATTATTTCTGCACAGTGTGTTGTAAAGTGTGAAGCTTAAAATAGGTCACAGTTATGATATGCTGAGTAATTTCACAGACTACGGTTCCAAGTAACGGGTTTCTTGCATTGGGGCAAGGCACAATGAAAAATTCATTACACGAACATGAAAGTAGTTACGATCATGCCACATATTTGTAGTATAAAGCCAGGTGTAATATTTAAATTACTCTTACGTTATAAAAACAAAAGTTGATTTATACAGTAAGAAGATGTCGAAATTTAAAATGTTAATGAAAGTATTGTGACATTTGGGGAAAGTCATAGCCGCCTCGCCACTCATTCGCTAACACGCATTGACATACACATGAAAAGTTACAAGTCCGTGACAAAAACACAAATGCCTTTCGGCCATTCATAAAACCGAATGAATGATAAGCAAAACCCATTTGGTTCATGAATGAGTTTATGCAAGTAACGGTAACGACGAAACGTGTCTCCCCGCAATTTATAGCGGACAGCAAGTTGACCAAGAAAGAGAATTAGTAACAAGTTTCGACACATGAGGAGTGGGAAGCTGTCGGACTGGCGAGAGTAACTGTTTAACAAGGGAGAGAATGCGTGCTTAAAGGATTGTGAAACAATGCGTAGCTGCTTGTGTGAAAGGAGTTCTTTTGAAATTTTTAACAGTTGTTTCCCTTGCGAGAAATTTAATTAAATTAAAATATCGGGCATTAGGCAACAGCGTATTTATGACTTTTCAACAATGCATTTTCAGACTGTTTTAATGTATGTTGGTGAGTTCTGCGAAGGTAAGCATCTGAATTGTTGTGAAAACAAACCCCCCACCCCAACCAAATTTAGGTTTGCAAATGAATAAAGGCAAAATTTGTTAATTAAGTAGTTTATCATTGTATCTTGGTATTATTTGTTTTTTTTTTTTGTGCTTAGCAGATTTGTAACGTCTTTTCCTGTATTAGAGTCAATTTTACCGACCACACAACATATTTTTATTATTATTAGGCTACATGTTTCGACCTCGAGAGGTCATCCTCAGGTGTACGAACACAGCTGTATAATTACGTGCAATCACATTCGTCTTTTCACTTATTCGATCCTGTATCTTATTCAGGCCCACGCTCAATAATATATCAAGTTCCTCTCACAAAACACAAGTTAAAATATTATTCTAAATGTCAAAAGTTAAAATTTAAAATTTGTGAATCGAATTTCAATTCAGATCACTAGTTATGCTTTCACTTTCACTTGTTATTCAGTCACTTCCTACTTATGCTCATCACTGCGTCAAGTTCACTTTAGCTAGTTTTAATTATATTATTGGTTAAAAAGTTCATGAATTAAAGTTCAGTTTTATTATATTGATTGCACTTTTCACTTCTTGGAGGTCTCGCTGTTCTTCCACATCCTCTGATGTTGCTGGATCTGTTACGGTCCTTAAATTTTAACTTTTGACATTTAGAATAATATTTTAACTTGTGTTTTGTGAGAGGAGCTTGATATATTATTGATCGTGGACCTGAGTAAGATACAGGGTTGAATAAATGAAAAGACGAATCTGATTGCGTGTAATTATACAGCTGTGTTCGTACACCTGAGGGTGACCTCTCGAGGTCAAAACATGTAGCATAATAATAATAAAAATATGTTGTGTAGTCGGTAAAATTGACTCTAATATTGGTTAAATACACAACAGGATGTAAGAAACAATTAAAGTCTTTTTCCTGTCTCCCTCAGTGTTCCTGCATCTGAGATGCATTGTTACCAAAATTTGACCATTTTTTTTAACAGATGGGAGGTCAGGTTACCAGTATTGAGGCAGATGAAGCATTAGACCCAATATCACTCATACTTTTGTAATGTAATCTACCATCTGACCCTGAAGTCAGATTTCGCTTAATAACTGTACTGACACACATTCTGATGCAAGTAACCTGCTGGCCTCTCAGTGAGTTTATGTAATGCAATTTTGTCCTCAGTTTCTTCTTTAAGCAAAGAAAGTAGGTTTATGAGGTCTCAGTTATGTCTATGTTTTTCCCCCTAACTCCTCCCAATTTTACTTTTAAACCAGCTGACCGATTTTCACGAAATTTGGTGTGGATGTTATGCCACTCCAGTCTCATTCTTACAGTGGCCAATTAGCAGTCACACGGTGGGTTCATGGAGTGAGCTGGGACTGACAGTAGACAGTAAAGTTGTCTCTGTGTAAATTAATTAAACACCATACAATCAGGACATATCGGGGGAACGAAGGTAAAGCTCCTCTATTTTTGATCTTGGCACTAGATGGAGCTTCATGCCCCAGCTGCTTTAGCTCCTGGTACCCACTGGAGTAAACCTTCAAGCATTTCTTAAGGTATTTTATTCACAGAACGTTGAAGAACAAAATGGCAGCAGTGTGATGATTGTCTTGACTTTCCAGTTTCATGGTGATGACTAAAGAACCACTGGAGCTTGGTACAGTCATGTACCAGTATGCCACACATTCTGACATATTTTGTATGAAGTCTGCGAATTGTAGTGTGTGGAGGCACTAGGGGGAACAAGCAGCACCCCCAACAACATTAGTAGAAGTTGATCGAATATGTTTAATAAATACTTTAATTTTGTACCATTCATTAAAATAGATTTTATATTTTGCAATAGAATACTATTTACAGGATTCCCACTTTCTTGCTTTGGTTGTAAAATCTAAAGGAAAAAAATTACTTGGGAGATCTGGACATGAATGGGGGGATAATATTAAAATGGATCTGAAATAAATATGGAGGGAAGGTGTGGGCTGGATTCATTTGGCACCTTTCATTAACAAAGAAATGAACCTTGAGAACTTGTAAAAGGTGGGCGATATCTTGACCAGCTAAGGGACTAGTAGCTTATCAAGAAGGACACGGCTCTATGCAGTTGGGCAGTTGAGTTCAGACTGTAGTGTACTTAATGTAATGGTGTGATCTTTGATGCTGGAATGAACATGTTTTCATATTCATAGGGCTCTCTGTTGTTTATTTAAAGGTAAAGTTTTCCCTGTGCTTAATTAATGAAGCAGTTCACAATTAAAGCGCGTGGGGAGTGGAGGTGAGCGGTCAGTTTCATCCCCCCCCCTCTCTCTGGAAAGAGCCCATGATACTCATCATATCTTGGCAGGCCCCATAGCTGGTCTGGATGTTGTGGAGAAGAGAAACGTCTCTCATGACTGCCAGGAATTGAACCGCAGTTCCTCAGCCATCCAGCACCTATCCCGTCACCACACCAGTGGAGCTGTCGCAACTCTCTTGTTTTTATTTATGTAACCATGAACCCTGTTTCTTGAATTCTCAGAACATGCGAAGCAAGTTGGCTTAAGTGCCAGTGCTTCAGACTTGTGCGCAGGAGGTGCCCAGTTTGAATCGGCTGGGACAATGCTTATTCCTTATTGAGGGTTTTTGTTGTGTTCCTTGCTTGTCCAGATACATGGCAGAATAGTACTTAAAATTCGGCCACAACTGATCACTTCTGCCTCGACCCCAATTTATTAATTCATTTATCATTCTGCTGTTTCACTGAGATACCAGCAGTCTCCACGGTTGTAATGCTGTATAGTTCGGAGACAGATCAACATTTTTGGGGGCATATCACCACCACCTGCAGAGCCTCAGAGTAAGCTAAGCAAGCAATTGGGTGCTGAACTTGGTGTCTGATTCTTACTGGTTTCTTGCATGGCTTACTTTTTGGACCTTAAGATGAAGTTATTGTGGTGCTCCAAACTACAGGATGTTACAACCCTATAGCATCTGCTATGAGAACATCAGACCCAACATAAATAAGTAAGTGGCAGTCTCTTGAAACATGGCACATTGTGCTGGTGTGACGTGTTGCAGGCGAGGCCAAGAATCTGCAGTGTAGGACCCATGGCTCGGTTAACCAGCGAGATGTCTACTGCACTCTGTCTTTGGACCAGGAGGAGATATTCCGGACCAGCACCATGGAACGAACCCTTGAGTAAGCAGTTCCTGTGCTTCATTAAGTTTACAGTCTGGTGCTTCCATCTTCATAATCCTAATACTTGCTGCTCTTATCCTAACAGTAGATACTTAACAAAATATACACCTGAAACAAGTTTAATGAACAATGTGGAAAATTAAAATTAATTTCATTTCTTACAAATAAATTAATGTAATTTATTGTACCCTCATTAAAGTCTGTCAAGTCACTGATGAGGTAATATAATTTGAATTAAAGGCTGCTTTTCATCTGTAGTTACAGAATTTATTTTAATTCTTGTATACATGGTAGCATAGTTGGTTGAGGCACTATGCTACAAGCCGAAAGGTCATGGGTTCGATTCCCGACGAGTTCATTGGATTTTTTTCGTTTGGCCTAATCCTTCCAAACCTTGGGTCAGCTCAGCCTCTAACAGAAATGAGTACCACAGATCTTCCCAGGGGTAAAGGTGCGTAAGGCTGGCAACCTCACCACCATTTGTGAACCAACTGTCTAGAAAGTATGTGGGCCTAGAAGATGTGTGTCTCAATGTCACACAGGTCTGGGGGCCTAGAAGATGTGTGTCTCGACATCACACAGCCCTGTGGGCCTAGAAGATGTGTGTCTCAATGTCACACAGCCCTGTGGGCCTAGAAGATGTGTGTCTCGACATCACACAGCCCTGCGGGCCTAGAAGATGTGTGTCTCGACGTCACAGCCCTGTGAGCCTAGAAGATGTGTGTTTCGACGTCACACAGCCCTGTGGGCCTAGAAGATGTGTGTCTCGACGTCACACAGCCCTGTGGGCCTAGAAGATGTGTGTCTCGACGTCACACACCCCTGTGGACCTCCGCAGCCTGCTACAGGGATAGCTTTACTTATCTTTATACCTTTTTACCTATAATTTGTTGGTACATTATAAAATCAGTAGTAATTGTTTTTATTTTAAAATGTTTAACCAGTTGACAAGAACTGAATTGAAGCTTTAGGAAAAGTGTTCTTTATAGAATATAATTGTAAGCTATGTAAATCTTTGTGCGATAAAGTTTTCTAACAGGATATACTCGTAATATAAAGCTGAAAATTGTGAGACTGACAGATGGTGATTCTTTCTAGAATAAGTTAAACTGTAAAATATTGGTTACATATTTTTCTGTCATAGTGTATTCAGGGCACATGTGTAATGGTGGTAATGTCCCCAAAAACAGTTGAAAACATGTGGTAAGAGTGAAAGATGTGTTGTTCCTAAAGTTGTGTTTGTAATCCTTGAATAAATGTTTGTGTCTTAAAGAGTTACTGGAAGTTCTGTATTAAGCTACTGGCAGGGATTCAGGATAGGATGGATTCTTTGGGCTGACACCTGTGACATTTTAGTGAGGATGTGAACTGGCTTAGGATTGTGACCAGTGGTAGGCATTGTTAGATCCTTTTACTAGAGTGAATGTTGTGCTTTATTGTGTATTACGATGCTAATGGCGTTTAGTTGTGAGAAAAAGTAATTTGTTTACAGCCCATTTTTTGGTGAGGAATTCCAGTTTGAGGTGCCACGTCGGTTCCGTTACCTCTCTGTGTATGTGTACGATAGAGACCGCCACTTGAAGCAGGATAAAGTGCTTGGCAAGGTGGCCATCAAGCGGGAGGACCTTCACACATACCACAACAAGGATCACTGGTTTCCGATTGTTCCAGTTGATGCTGATAGTGAAGTTCAGGTAATATAGTTATGGTGCTTGGTACTTTGATTTGATTGCTTGTATGATCCATCTTTAAAGGGACTTTACTATGGTTAGTAATCATACAGACACTAAAATTAATTATTCTTTCAACTCTAAACTTTTGGTAATTGCAGTTGTAGAAGTCAGCTTTTGAATCTTTCATTCTTGTAAGACGAAATGCAGCTAAATAAAGTTGACAGGCAAGCCCTACTGCAGATCAGGCAGTCAGATGCTGGGTCCTCTCACAGAGCCTCAGGTTTAATGCCAGGCAACCTTGTTTGAGGGTTTTTCTTTTTTTCTTTCTTTTTACTGAGTGGCATTGGAGCAGGTTTGCCTGTAAGTTTCTTCTGTTTTCTGCTGCGAATCATCATTCCACTGTTGCTTGATCCTGATGTGTGATTTCCCTCTGAGATGTGCAGCAGCCCAGAGTGGGCTGGAGACCTTAGTTTGCTGGTAACGAAGTGGATGGTAAATTAATGAGTCTGATCTTCATTGAGTCCTGCATGTAAATTAATCAGATATTCAGTACGAGAAGTTGTTTTTTTCTTCTGTGGATTAAATTGAGTGGGCAAGGGGTCTCATGACCCCACAAGGGGCTAGACAGCTGATTTGAATGTAGCTATTTCATGAATTGTCTTGTTATAATGAAATATCCAGGAATAAGGTAGTAATAGTGTAATAGTGTTTTCATACACTTTACAGCAAAAGTGTTTGATGTAAGATGTGGAAGGTTGGAAACTTTGTGCTTTGTAATGCAGTACACAAGATTTCCAGTGGCATTCATTGCAGTTTATTAAATTATCTGTGGCATGTTTGTTGCCTTATGGTCTTAAGGAAAATGGCCTACACTATGGGCGAGTATGGTTCAAAGCCTTGATTGTCACGGAACTTTCACTGAAAATCTCCTGTACCAAATTTTAAGAGAAATCTGTTAGGACAGTTCAGGTGCTCAGTCTAAGTTGCCAATGGATGGATGGATGAACAGATGAACGTGTGACCTCCATATAAGACAAAATAAAAGAAAATCAAAATGAACCAGTGAGAAGACTGTTTTCTTCTCTCTTTGCAGTCTCTCTTGTACTCATTTGGGCAGGTTTAATGTTCAGCTTTGCATATGATTCAGATTGCAGATTTTGGTGGCTGTAACTGTTCATATTAAAATCCCCCTGGGTTGAGACACTGTGCAGTCAGGTAGTAGGTCAAGAGTTTCAGCAGGAACATGTTTCCCCCATGTTCAGGGTGGAAGTCAAGGCACCAGGCCAGAAGACCACATTCTGAATTTGTGTATGTTTACTGTTCCAGGGTAAAGCAAATATTGAAGTAAAACTGGACCCAGTCCTGAAAGGTGAGGCCGATGTGGGACAGCAGAACAGCAGGGTCACTGTGAGGTCAGTTTGAAGTTCAGCCTTTTCAGCTGTGTCTGTCTTATTGGGGGAAGCAAAGACTAGCAGATACAAAGCAGCCGATTGTCACATGAGCTGTATCTGTCGGGTGTAATAGAGAAAGAGACAAAGATATTAATGAACAATTTCTTTCTTAAAACCGTCACAGTACAACTATATCAAGGTCAGTGCCTAGTAAGGCTCTGCAGAGCTAAAATTGGCACTGACCTTAATATAGCTGTGTTGTGATGGTTTTAACCTTTAAGAGACGGCCCTTTCAATTCCGGTAATGGCTGCGGGACTCATTTAATTTAAATGCCCTCGATTATAAAGCAATAAAAATTGTAATCATTTACTAAAATTGCTGTGATTTCTACAATTCTTATGATAAACGAACCAAATAAACGCTGCTTGTTTCTAGAAAGAATATAGAATCCGATATTGTAATTTACAGACTTTATAAAATATGTAAAAAATTTTTAGACTGATTCCAACTGAAATATGCCCCAATTTGTCATCTGTCTACAAGAATTCATACAGTTGTTGCAAATATAAATGCGGCTGATGTGGCAACACAGCGAAATCTTAGTTGCCCCTGATTTAGGCTAGCCTGTATCAAAGTTTATTCACGTATGTTCTTTAGGTATGCAGAGATGTGGGCGCGTATCCGTTTATAAGAACCCTGATTGTTTACATTATCGCTTATAGATACACAACGAGTGTTCTGTTCTGACCTGGTAGGCTACTGTATAAGAACTCTCAAGGTTAGCGTCCGTATAACAGCCCACCACATCAGAACACTCAAGGTTAGCATTCTGCGAAGTTGTAAAGCAACCAACCATTGCGTGGTCTCGTTTGGAAGACTGGGACATATTTCAGCTCATAAACGACTCCGAATCAGATTGTTGTAAAGACAGTTCTGAGAGTGGCGTTGAGGAAAGTGAATCAGAAATTGATTTCGATGAAGAACTATCATCTTGGTCAGCAACCTGGGGACCACCACACCAGCATGGCAAGAGGAGTGTGAATAATTATTCAGGTGGAGCTGTGGGCAAAGTGTGGCAAACAGTTATAGCATCTGTCGTCGAACCTGGAAATGGACAAATAAACTATTTTTCCATCTCCTGGATCTGAACAGTTACATCCTGTTGTCACACAGAGAATTTTGTCTCGCTCTTGTGCGGAACATGCTGGAAGGGGTCCATCTCGAACTCAACGGACCAGGGATCGAACCCCTGCCGTTTCATTGGAGATATCTCGATTAGAGGAGGCCAAACCACATCACTGGCCGACTTCCTCTACTTCGCAATTTAGGTGTCGTGTGTGCTTTTCGCGTGGGAAACAAAGAACTGTGCTGACAAAGTGCGTGAAGTGTGACGTCACACTCTGCATTTCCGGATGATTCCAAGAATTCCACATGAAGGCAACATTCCGTTAGATGACGCAGGTGGGAAGACAGACAACTTATAAAGCTGATGTCCAAAAATCATGAAAGTAGAACAAGAATTTATAACTTAAAATTAGATTTTAAGAAGCCGGCCGCACGCGTGGACTGCGCGACGACATATGGTGTCATTCGTCCCCTTGACTTTATTTTAATGATGCCATATGGCGTCGCTCGGCTCTTAAAGGTTAATAAAGAAATTGTATATTATAATACAACAGGATGCATGAAATGAAAAAGATGTTAATGAAATTTACTGTGTAACCTTAACCGTTTTGTACTGTTAACATATGATGCAAGTATTGCATTAAGTTTTTGGGTATTAATTGAATTCTCATTTGCAGTCTTTGCTGTGATTGAATTGGTAAACTTTTATTTCTTAGTTTGAGTGTTGTTTTCCTTCCTTAACCCTCCTTGTCCGGAAACGGGCTGTGTGCTTGATGGCTCACGTAGACAGTTTCTGATTTGATTTCCATTTTGAAATCAGCTGCGAGACAGATTGTTATATAGCTAAACTGACCAGGACTTGAAGCTGACCACTCACCTCCAGCTAGTGCTGAGGTCAAGAAAATGTGGATCTATACATCCACTCCCCCATATGCCTTCATGGCATAGTGCTTAATTAGTGAAGCACAGTGACAGCTTTACCTTTTTACCTTGGATAAATACTGTCATAATTGCAAATATGAGGTTGGTTGAGTCAGGGCACAGTGCGTTTTGGTGTAATGGTGATGAACCTTCAGATTCTGTAACAGCAGATAATTTGTTTTTCACAGATGAGCTCTTGCAAACTGAGAATAATGTTTGGGTTGTGATCTGTTTGCGCTGACTGCAGGCTGATTGAGTGCAGTGATCTGACGATAAAGAATGGGAACTGCGATCCATTCGCTAATGTGACCATGTGTTACTCGAATAGCAAGCAGGAGTCCAGGCGAACAAAGGTGAAGAGAAAAACTGTGTCCCCACATTTCGATGAAGTATTGGTATTTGAGGTAAGTTTTGGTTCTGAGTGTTGACTATACACCAGAAATTCTTTGCACCATTTTATAGTACTCCTTCAGATTCTGTGTGAGATGACGTTCTTTTGTGCAAGTATGTTAACACTGCAGCCATGTCTGACACCTTTTGGGCTGTTTTAGAATTTTTTTGTCTAAAGTTAAACTTCATTGCATAGAAACTGCAGTTATTCAGAGATAGAGAAAGTACAGTCCAGGAGAAGGAAAAGTACCAGGCTTTTGTTTACAAATGTCGAACATTAAAAATGTCTTTTTAATTTACTCTGTCCTCTGGTCACTGTGTCCAGTCAGTAGCCATGGCTGTTAAAGCTGTAAGCAAGTATGGTAGAGTTCTTGCATGCAGCTCAAATTCTCATTCCTGGTCCCCTTTTAATTACACGATAAACTTTCTTTGAAATGGTAGTTACTCTAGATTGTGAGAGTGATTGTGGGAATAGTCCACAAGCAAACTATCATGAGTGTGTTGTAATGCTGGGGAATGTACTTTGTAGGTGGGAGAATGGCTGGAATCGTAAATAGTTCATAGCTCATTTTGTTTGTGAACTCTCATTCACACTTTGGTTGTACTTTCCTGTTTCCTTTGGTAGCAAATTCCCTTGTTTTTAGTGCCTTACTGTTTCTCCATTCATAAAATAACGTTATCTTCTGTCTTATCTGTTTACACACACAAGGTCTGTTGGTTGATTAAGGAATGTGATAAAGGAGCGCTGAGAATATTTCACTGTGTTCATTGAATTGCTCGGGTTGAGATAATGGTGTCTACATGGTAATGAAAACTGCCGCAAGATAAACAGCACATGGGTTAATGCTATTTAGATGCATGATCACTGCTTATTTTGGTAATCATATGAAACTGTGCGGACAGAATGCAGTGAATGTTAAAGCAAGTGGTACATATAGTTACAGTTGTCTGTGCTCTGTAGGGTTAAAAGCATGTTACAAGAAACACAAAATCTTCTGTTTTGTTGTCTGCTGTGTAAGAACTTAGAATTTCAGATATACAAAACTGTAATTCTACACGTTATGCTGTTTGGGTTTAGAACTTGGTCTCTCACATTAAGGGAAGAACACAGATTCAGGGTGTTCGGGGGAGTATTTGGACTTTAAAAGTGGGAGTCTTTATTAAGCAGTCATCGTAACATTTGGTAAGGTGAATAAAGGTAAATCTATCCCTGTAACAGTTCATAGAGGCCCATATGGTTGTGAGACAAGGCTGCCACATTTTCTAGACAGTCGGCTCCCACATGCCATTGAGGTTGTTAGCCTGACATGCCCTTTACCTGCCCTAAGATTCCTGGTACTCATTTCTGTTGGAGGCTGAGTCGACCATAAGTCCATAATGCAGCTGGAAGGATTAGGTCAACTGAAAAATCCAGTGACCTCATCGGGCATTGAATCTGCTACCTTCTGGCTTGTAGCATAGTGCCTCAGCCAAATACATTACGCTATATAATTTGAGCTGTTGGTGCCATTGTGAAATAGACATGGGTAAGTAAGAAGAGTTGGTCAGTCTGTTATGTTGTTGCTGCAGCTTCCGAACAGCCGCGGCCAGAACCATGATCGGGACACATACAGCCTGCAGCATGAGCAAGATGTGGAGTTCAGCGAATTGAGGATCACTCTGTGGCATGACTCGCCTGGAATGGCTGACAACATGTTCCTTGGAGAAGTGAAGATCCCCCTCAGAGGCCTTCAGCAGCAACAGTTTGCAGCCAGCAATAAGTGGTGAGCTCTGCATGTGTGAAAGCCACTGTTTCTTGTTAGGATCCACAAAACCCATAAACACACTGTGGGAAAAGTGTGGAATTCTTAATGCTAAAGAATGTGGTACATACAGGGTTTGTCCGAAAAGTAATGTCAGTGAGTCGATTAAAAAACATTTATTGATTAGATCGGTGCAACACATTAAAAGGCTTCAAAATAGGCTCCTTCTGCGTCGATACATCGCTTCCAGCGAGATTTCCAGGCATCGAAGGCGTCATGGTAGGCCTCCTCCGGAATGTCCTTTAGAGTCTTGGTGCAAGCCTCTTTGACTTCGTCAACTGTCCCAAAATGATGTCCTTTCATAGGAGTTTTCAAGCGCGGAAACAAAAAGAAGTCTGGGGGAGCCACGTCAGGACTGTAGGGCGGCTGGGGAACCGTTGGCACCTTTGAATCGGTCAGGAAGTGGGTCACGAGGAAGGCGGTGTGGGCTGGCGCATTGTCACTTTGGGCACCAGCTTTGCGCACACTTTTCGCATCTGCAGATTGTTCGTCACAATCTCGTGAACGGTACTTTTTGGAATGTTTAATGTCTGTGCCATTAAACGAACACTCAAACGACGGTCTGAGTTCAAAAGTTCTCTCACACGCGTCACATTTTCGTCGGTGGTGCTTGTTGATGGCCGTCCAGCGCGGGCTTCATCGCCGACCTCTTCACGGCCTTCTAAAAAGACCTTGTGCCACCGGTAGACCTGACGTTCCGACAGACAATCATCACCGAAGGCCGTCTTTATCATGGGAAAAGTTTCCACTGCAGACTTGCCAAGTTTCACACAAAACTTGATGGCAATCCTTTGTTCCAAGGAACGCTGCATTGCGGCTTGCACGGGAGACAAAAACGAGTTTCACGGAAAAGCCTTTGGTCACTCTCACGAAGTTCGGAGACGACTAAGCCACTGCGCGTTCATAAGGTGACTTCCCCCTCCACCGATCCCAACCGGTGTAAGCGCGCTGCGACGTATAGTCACTTCACAATGAAATCACTGACATTACTTTTCGCAGTACTTAGGATTGCAGTTGATATACATAAAGCCTGGTGTCAGTGTCAGATGACCTCTTCTAGGTATTTCAGAATTGAATTTTTCCCTTGCAGAAATGATCCTCTGTAGCCCCTTGGAAGCTCACTGATATTTCAGACAAATCTGCCATCTCCACCTTAGGGTCAGAGAGTACGCCAGAGTTCTGCTTGATCCATGCTTCCTGCTTGTCACTTGCTTGGGTTATTCTGTGATCCGGAAGACATGGGCACCGTGCTGCTGTGAAATGTTAGTGAACTTCTATCAGGCTACACTGTGTCACATTGCAGAAGATGGCTACCACTGCAACACCATGAAATCCAATTAGTCTTGACTTTGTTTTAAGGGTATTTCTGGTCTTGGGAGTTAATATTTCAGTATCTATTTTAGGATTGTGTGTGCAAGTTAATAACTGGCAGTTCATAGTGTCCCCTGTTTCATGTTACATTCTCATGTCAGTTGACAAGGCTGTGATGCTATATGCGCATGCGCACACAGCGTAAGGGTTCAGAGGCCACAGTAGTTGCCACTGACTGGATAAACGTTTTGTTGGTTTTAGTGTTATATAAAGAGAACTGGTCCGGTCCGGGTTTGATTCCCGGCACTACCAGATTTTCTGAGAAGTATTGGGTCTGGAATGGGGTCCACTTAGCCTCATGAGGATAATTGAGGAGCTATTTCAAGGAAATAGCAGCTCTGGTCTAGAAAACCAGAGTAACGGCCGTGAGGAACCGTTGTGCTGACAGTGTGACACCCTCTATCAGCAGAAGTTGGCACTAACTTCATTGACAAGTGGTGGTCGCTCAGTCATATAGTTCATTTGCAGACTACAGGCCACGGAGTTTTCTTTTTGTCTGTAAATAATGTGTCTGCTGTTTGCATCACAAGTTGAAGCTGTTTCAGTGTATGCTGTAGTTTCCATCTTCAGGTTGAGTGTGAGATGGAAGGAGGAAGTGGATTCATAGATCTTGCAGAAGGAATAAGAGTTGGGTTATCTGGTGGCCTTCAGCTATTTCAGGGAAACAAGAACATTGTGACAGGTAATTAGGGGAATGAGAGGTAATAGCTCTGCCCCCCCCCCGTGAAGATGGTGTCGGATTTGAGGTCCTCATGCCTGTGAATGTGAGGTGTTCTGCCTTTTGGGATGTAACTATGTAGGCTAGTAAAAGTGAACCAGCGTTTCAGTGGGGCTTACCACATCCATCCCTACGGTTGAAGATTGAGCCAAACAAGAAACCAGGAGGAGTCAGATGGCATACATGTACTTAGCACTGGGCTTTGGACACATCACAACATATTCATCTCTTAATCTTCCTGTCCATCCTGTAGGGACCTGAAGATAAAAATTTAAAAGACTCTGATTTTTGCTGTGGCTCTGTATGGGTGTGAAACTTGGCCTCTGACATTAAGGGAGGAACACAGACTGAGGGTGTTTGAGAACAGGGTGCTGAGGAGAATATTTGGACCAAAGAGAGATGAAGTGACAGAAGGTTGGAGAAAACTGCATAATGAGGGGCTTCATAAGTTGTACTCTTAACCAAATATTACTAGGGTGATCAAATCAAGGAGAATGAGATGGGCAGGACTTATAGAATGCATGGGAGCTGTTAACAAATAAATGCATGAAAACTTTGGTCTGGAACTCTGAAGACAATAGACAACTTGGAAACTCAATGGATCTTAAAGAATGGGGTTGAAGCGTGTGCTTTAGTAATGGGCCAACAGCAGCTTCATTTGTAGCCTTCGGGTTCTGTAAGAGGTGTGGACTTTCTTGACTAAGTGACTCTTAAATTCTCAAAAAGGATTGTGGTCACTGGAGTTAGTTGGTTATGTGAACTGATTCGGTGTTTGCAGAACTTTGAAGATCCGAATAACGTCAATAATGCAGTTTCTTCATGGCCATGTTGCAGGTATTTCCTCCAGCCAAGATCACATAAGAACCATTCTTACAGTAGGTCACCTGGCAACTCCGGTTTTCCTCCTGGTACACATCAGGACAGTCTGGGCACACTGCGGCTCAACATCCACTACACAGCCGACCATGTCTTCTCTAGTCACGTGTATGACCCTCTCCGGCAACTCATCCTGCAGAGCACACAGATTGAGGTGAGACTGTGCAGTCTGAGTCGTGACAGTTTTCATCTAGATGTGACTCCTTTCAGTTTGGTAGATGAGCACCGGTGTTTCAGTGGAGATCTGAACGTGAAGTAGCAGGCCTCTCTGAAACATGGCTGCCTGTTTGCCAAGCTGCTTGGCATCACATCTCTGAAGATAATCTTACGGTAGTAATTGTTATGAAGAATTTGGCTAACTTATTATTTTTTTATTTTATTCAGTAACACTTCAAAGTATTTTGTGTTGTTATTTGTGTAATAAGCATGTTGACAGAAGTCTATATTGGATCCTTTGTTGACAAAACTCTCTGTTAATCTCATTCCAAATTCTTTTATTTCATATTGAACAAGTTGTATTCTGTTACCAGTGCATTTCCCCACCTATTAAGAATTTCTTAACTTTCACTCTCAATTCTAGTCCCAATGAGGTCATTGGATTTTTTCAATTGACATAAACCTTCCAGCCACACTGTGGCCCTGGGATCAACTCAGCCTATAACAGAAATGAGTACCAGGAATTAATTAAACAATTTTCCTGGGGAATAAAGCACAGCCAGCGCGTAAGGCTGGCAACCTTACCGCCATCTTCGAGCCAATTGCCTAGATAATGTAGGACCCTCAGTGTCTCACAACCCAATGGTTCTTCACAGCCTCTTACAGGGATAGCCAGACTCAATTAGGCAGTTTTTGATTAGATGTTATTTTTATTGATAAATGTTAACAATTGCAATGGTTACAAAAATGGAATCACACACACATAAGTCATCGATTTACAAGATGCTGGTCAACCTGGGCACCACCTAAGTCAACGCAGGCTTGCAGACGCAAAGCAACATTTTCACATGCCTTTCTACACATATTCACCGGAACTTTATTGAACTCCTGAACAATCACCTCATGCAGATGTTTCACACTGTCAGTGGGATTAGCATACACCTTGTCTTTGAGGTAACGCCAAAGGAAAAAGTCTGGTTGGGTGATGTTGGGTGATCAGGCTGGCCACTCCACAGGCCCTCAACGGCCAATCCAGCATTGAGGAAAAACTTGATGCAAGAACGCCCGAACAATATTGGCGAAGTGTGATGGGGCCCCATCTTGCTACCACCACAGTTCATCAGTTCTCTCTCCTCTGAAGTTCTGGGATGACACTTTCCCTCAGGAACTTTAGGTAGGTTTTCCCCGTGATGCAACCTTCAAGGAAGAACGGGCCAATCAGTCCTTCGTACGTTACGCCGCCCTACACCATCACTCCCAGGGACTGGAAATCGTATTCAATGGTGGCACTGGGGTTCTCTGGACGCCAAAACGCGCAGTTGTGTCTGTTGACCGATCCTGATGTGTGAAATTTGGCTTCATCAGTCCAGACAATATTCCAGATAAGGTCAGGGTTCTTCTGAAACTTTGTCAGCATCAACTCGGCGAACTCAAGTCGCCTGTCGAAGTCGTCCTCGTTAGGAACATGAATAAGCCGTGGATGGTATGGCGTCAGCTTCATGTCACTCAAAACTCTCTGCAAACTTGTCCTCGAAATGTCCAGTAGGGCCGACAAACGGTGGGTAGACTTCTATTTCTGAGGAGATGATGCCAGTTCCGCAGCAACACGTGCTTGTGTGTCAGCAGTTCGGACAGTTCTCGGCTGACCGGGATGCTTGGGATTCAAAGCACTGGCAGTTTCATCAAACTGCTTGTTTATTCGGACGATTGTGTCCCTGTGGACTGCTGGGGGTCCAAAGTCTTCCAACATCCTGCGCTGGACTTCTGATACATTGTTAATAACTGAGAAAAGGCGCACACATTTTACACACTGCTCGATAGACGACCGTTTACTGGCCATGACGTTTCCTCGATGTGCACTAAGTAGGCAGAGTATTGACCTTGTTCACAGCATACCGTATGATGCTGCCATCTATCGACAACAAAAGGCACTTTCCCATTATCCCGTGTGTTGTTGGATTGGTTAGTTATTAATGATCAAAAACTGCCTAATTGAGTCTGACCCACTCTGTAGTATCTGTAGTGTCCCATACTTGCAAACAGAAGACTGTGTAATCACATGCGATTTAACATGCAGTGACCTTGGTGTATGTTAGAACAAGTGTGTAGAATACTGATATATTCCTGAACAGTATCATATCGCTTTTGTGACCATTCAGATTGTAGTCAGTAGCTCTTATTTCATGCTGACTGAACGTTAGATATGATTTCAGTATCTGTAAGGGAGCCATTGTACATCATGTGGCAGCAGCTGTGGAATGTTATTCAGCCATGACAGGAAAATAAGTCCCTTCAAGCAGTTTGTGTAAATACCAGGCCATGTTGAAAATTAACTTTGCATTTTATCAGCCGGTTACGTCGAGTGCTGCATACATCTTGGGCGAGATCGTAACAAGCAAGGTGGATGCCGCGCAGCCTCTTGTTCGTGTCTTCATGCATTATGGAGAGATTGTGCCCATGATTCGCGCTCTGGCACGCTGGGAAATCTCCAAAGTCACGTAAGATTTATGTTCTCTTAATTTCAGCATACCTTCTTCTGAGTTAGTCTTCCCTCCCCCCTCAAGTTTTAAACTTTACCATATTTTCAGTTGTTTATTGTACGTGTCTGTGTAATGATTTTGCCCTGTTTCTTGTTGATGAGGTGTAAATGTATATCTAGCCTTTTGGAATTTATTTCAGGTCCATTGTTTTTTTGGCTTTTGGTAGTTTTTATTACAAAATTTGTTCATGCATTTCACATACTTATATCCCATTGCATTTTAATCACTTTTTGCTAGTGATGTACTTGGTATTCCCATAATGCACTAACCCCTTCAAGACCTCACATGGCTCTCTGTCTGCCCCTGCAGCTGCATTTAATCATTTGACTGTGAAGCCCTGCCATGAGCTAGTTGCTAGAACTGCCAGATGCAGACCATCACCACCTTCCCGTTTGACTGCGAAGCCCTGCCACGGGCTAGTTGCTAGAACTGCCAGATGCAGACCATCACCACATTCCCATTTGACTGCGAAGCTCTGCCATGAGCTAGTTGCTAGAAATGCCAGATGCAGACCATCACCACATTCCCATTTGGCTGTGGACACAAAGTTAAATCTGTTTAGGCTTGCTATAAGACTGGGTGTGGCCTGCTCTCATATGGTTTATTGACAGCAAGGCACAGCAGTTCATTTTCATCTCATGGAACCAGGGAGACGAGCCATTCCTATACAGTGAAACCTCGATCTATCATTCCCGGATATATCATTTTCCCACATCCATCGTTCAATTTCTGTGGTCCCTGAACAAATCCTATTTAAACTATGGAAATAAAACCTGCATTGATCATTCTTCGATTTATCGTTTTCCCGCATCTATCAGTCGGAATTCTTGGTCCCCACGAATGTTAATCCCGCATTGATCGTTTTTAAGAAAGTGCAACACCACACAAATGTTAGTAATAGTAGTAAAAGCGGTTGATGTTTTTGAAACATGGTGTAACAAGTTGCAGTACCATCAAAATGTGTGGTATGCGACCTTGAACACTTGTTACCTGCAAAACAATTAGCGTGAGCGATAAGGGGATGCCGAGAGCCTTCCAGCTAGGAAAACTTTCCTGTATGTTAGTGTGAATCGTGTGACTCAACTCAGTTCGCGATTTCGCCTGGTTGAGTATACAGTCCATCACGTGTTTGATCCTCGACGTGCTTCGTATTATTGTTAGTGTCATCAAAAATTTTCTCCCGCATGGCGTTTCCTGTGAAAAAAGTTCAGACTTTAGAAGAACAATTGTGCATTATAGAAGAGGTGGGAAAACCCCATCAGAGAAGAGGACTGACATAGCCAAGCAACTAGGCCTGCCACCATCAGCCCTAAATTCGATCATCGCAAAGAAAAGGGAGATCAGAGAGCTGGCTGATAAGTGTGGTACGTCAGCCAAGAAGAGGGAGATGGCAAGGAGTCTACCTACAGCAAGCTGGAAAATGTCCTCTTTGCCTGGTACCAGCAGGCCTGAGCATCAGGCATACCTGTGGATGGGCCCATCCTGCGGGAGAAATCCCTCAAAATAGCTTCAACAATGGGGTCGAGAAATTTTCAGCTTCAAACTTTTGGATCTCCCGCTTCAAGCAATGCCATGGCCTGGTATTTAAGAAATTGGCCGGGGAGAGTGCTGCTGTGGACATCAATGCCACGGACCTCTGGTTCAAAAGACTCTGGAACTGCTGGAGGGCTATGAGGCTCGGGACATAAATAATGCAGATGAAACGGGCCTCTTTTTCAACTGCCTGCCAGACCGAACGCTGGCATTGAAAGGAGAGGCCTGCCATGGAGGAAAAAGTGCGAAGGGGCGACTCACGTTGCTGCTGTGCACAAACAGCGATGGGTCAGACAGTTGTGTAACTACTGTTATTGGAAAGTCCACGAAACCATGGTGTTTCAAAAATATAAAGAAGCTACCTGTGACTTACTATGCCAACTCGAAAGCACGGATGACATCAAGAGATTTTCAGAGGCTTTCTGCATGCTCTTGATGCGTCATTTGGTGCACTAGGCAGGAAAATCCTCCTCTTTATAGATAATTGTGCAGCTCATTGTCCAGATACATCTTTGACGAATGTAAAGGTGGTTTTTTACCCTCCGAATTGCACCAGTGTCATACAGCCTCTTGATTTGGGTGTGATCAAGTGCTTCAGGCAGGTGTACAGGAAGCAGCTAGTACAGAGGGTTGTATGTTTGATGGATGCAGGGAAAGAGGCCAAGGGCAAGATCAACATCCTGTGCACCATTCACCTGATTGTTTCAGAATGGCAACAAGTGACCCAGTCCACAATCCAGAACTGTTTTGTGAAGTGTGGCTATGTGAATAATCAAGAAGGGCCAGACGTGACAGAGGTGGACAGAAGTGGTGAGGATGATGTAACGCAAGCCGAAGACTGGGTTCGGCGGGGGGCAAGCACCACCGGCGTGGACTTTGAGGCCTACATGTCTGTATACCAAGAGCTCGCGACATGTGGTGTGCTGTGTGTTGAAGAAATTGCGTGGAGGAAGGGCAAGGTGATGGTGGTGATGATGATGATGATGAAGCCGAGTCCGAACCAGTGCCCAGTTTTACGGAAGCACTTTGTGCATTTGAGTCAGTGAGAGCGTTCACATATCCTCACGACATCACCAAAAGAGACCAAGTGAACATTGTTAATGTTGAAAGATTATTATTCAGCTTGAAAAGGAAAGGGGCTACTAAACAAATGAAAATTAATGACTTTTTTAAAAAGTAGTAACACAAATTGGGCTTTACAGTGGAAATATTATCACTGGTGTACGTTTTTTTATTTAGTTAATACATATAGGCAAATGTGACCGTTTTCATTCATTTTATATAGGCCCCGCATCTATCGTTTTCCTGCCACCATCATTTTTTTTTTTTCAGGACCCCCAACGAAAACAATCAATTGAGGTTTCACTTAGTACCTTTCAAAGTAGCTTTCTCCTCTGACCCTGGATATTCGTGTGTTAATGTCATCTATTGACAGAAATGCTGTACTAATTGATCAGTAGTGAGGCCTGTCTTGTCAGCTGTGGCAGTTCTAAGCCAGTCTCATTGTCTCGTGGTGTGCAAAAGGTAAATGGCAGCAAGGCCCTATCATTGTCATATTTACAGAGCTTTTTTGGTATATATCAAAAATAAAATTCATTCTCTCATCAAAGAAAGACACATTGGAGCATAAGACTGTCATCCATTGATAACAGGATGAAATGCAATCCAAGAATGAATTTTAAAATATCTGTAAGATGTGAGAGCAGTGAACCACATCTCAGGAACAATGTTAGTTAACAGTAGGTTATGAAGCTCTGTTTCTCTGGTCATTTCCTGTTTATTTTTCTTTCTGTGTTATATAGGGATGCCAATACAATATTCCGCGGTAATACTCTTGTCTCGAAGATGATGGACGAAGCAATGAAATTGGCAGGTCTGCATTACCTGCACAATACGCTTCGATCATCACTAGATCTTGTGTTCCGGGAACGCAAACCATGTGAGATAGATCCTGCAAGGGTGAGAGATCCTGCAATGATTGAGGCAAACCTGACCAATCTTAAGGAGTATGTGGAGAACATCTTCGAGGCCATCACGACATCAGCCCTGCATTGTCCCTCGCTTATGTGCCAAATGTTCCATGATCTCAAGGAATTAGCCAGTACACGTTTTCCAGGTGAGTTGTCACAAGATAACTGGAGTAACATGCGTTTTGAAAATTTTGTCCTGGAGCGGAATGTTTCTTCTTTTTTCTGATACATTCATTGGATTATCCCTGTGCAAATGTTGGCAGCCTGAGCCATACTGTAAGAACTGTAACATAATATTATGAAGCTGCTGTCACATGTCAAGTTTTTTTACTGCAGGCCCTTAACACAGCAGTGGTTACATCAATAATTTCCCTGAGTTGGCCTGAATGAGCTGGCCATTCTTCAGAAATGCAGTCATGCTCATTGTTCTGTATTGGAGATGAGATCATATTTGAGAGTGTTTTGTTAAGGGAGAATTCTTTTGGGTGTGCATCAGGAGTGTCTGTTCTCACAGTTTGTTAGCATTCCTAACACTTTGTGGACCAGTTCCCAGATATTTTACATAACATTTAACTCATCAAAGCTGGCAGCAACTTTACTCACATTTTGAAGTTGTAGATGATGCTGCAGTCCTGAATTGTGTGAAACCAGCATGTACAGCAAACCCTCACTAGTCCGAGTACAGTTAATCCAGATGTGGTTAATCCAAATCAAAATATTAAAAACGCTGTTTAAAGTTGAGTACATGTTTTAAAATACACATGACATTTAGAAAGGCAGATGAGTCACTTGTCTGTTCAGACAAAACTTGACAGTTTCTTCAAACCTGCATTATTATGTTCAAAAAACAAGTACAACTTTTGCGTCTTCTGTTGAAGAATGAATAAATGTATTGTCTTTTTATAGTTTTTAAATAAAGGCTCTACGATGACATTTTTTTTATTATTATTTTCATCAGCACTACTTATATCATTACATTTTCATTTGTTTATGCCCTGAGTTTTTTTGTCTTTTAGGGCTGTCTTTTGCTTCATTTGTTCCGATGACCTTTCTCCCAGTAAATACGGTTTAGTGGGAAATTTCTTATCTAATTGATTCAGTCATGCTTCATGGAATGGAATATCTCAAAGCAAGAATCTTTATGCAGTGGAATATGGCAGAATTTGCAAATGTGTCTGTCCTCAATACATGTTTTGTGTGCAGCCCATGTCCTACAGAACCTTCCTTGATGGGATGTAGTTATATTTCCAGTTCATGTGCGTTGAAATCCCGTTAGTCCATCTAGATGGTTCTGTTTATGTCCTCATAGCGCCCTTTGCTGGATGTTATCACATGAACTGGTCTCAATTGCAATATGCTTCCTGGTTTTTCTGTCTCTCTTTTGCAAGTTTGCCGATTTTGACTAGTGAAACGTACTATCACACACACTAGCCACATTCCTTCTCAGACTAGACCAGAATTTTATGCTTCCTACAGAGAAATAATGATTGCAATTTTGTCACGAGTTCAACTTCTCTTGCAGGGTCTTGTGCAGTTCATCTGTTCATCCTTATGGCATCACACTTTCTTGTGTTCCTTTGTAACAAGTTTTTGTACAATTTCACATTGTTGTAAAAACGATCCTGATAAATATGGTGGTTCAGAGGAATAATTATTTTGGAGACGAGTTAGAACTGTGTCTTCCTACTTTTCTCGTTGGGTGTACATATGTCCATGTTGCTTATATATCTTGATCTATCTTCATACAGTGCATATGCCCTAAACTGCAGGTGACCTCTTCATGGGATTGTGTACATCTAGAGAGAACTCTTTGTGGTCTGTAAACCAATGTGAACGAGGGAAGGAAGTATTCATACGTTGAATTTTGAATAGGCTGCCTGTTGTCACTGAGGTGCCGAGTTTGGCAGATGGCCTCAAAATGGTTTCTGCTCATGGTCTGGGGGAAAACTGGGTGTATGTATTGTAGCATAAGGTAAACCTCATTCTTTCATATAATTTCTGACCTGCCCAATGAGTATCAGGCCTAAATATTTTCATTTCTGAAGTGGTAATAATAGTGACCAAGTGACCAACTTCAGTATTTAGGTGATGCTTCCCATTGCTTCACTTATTCTCATTAATTTCCAGAATGGATTCTGGTTTCACATGAAAAATTAATATCTTTGTACAATGTTGTCACTCGCAAACACAGGGCAAGGTCATGACCACTTACAGGCTGTGTTTTTAGATGTGGCTTCTGGGTTGCACATGAGGATTATGGCCACAAGTAGAGGGCAGTGGTTGCAGGATGGAGGGTGACATGAGCACGGCCATAAGGTAACCCAAACCCTGCAGTCCATATCTCAGTTAGTGGACAGTGTCAGATCCACAGCATGTTCTTTTGAGGGTGGCTGGGTCTAGAAGTATGAACAGTACCTGAACGGATGGTGGCTCCATCAATGTCCAGGGCGTCTCGGTACTAACCAGTCTGTAAAGTTGCAACAGCATGTTGTCATCCTCTCTTACCTCGTTATCTGAAGTCATGTTTGGTACTGTAGAAAATCGGAAAGCAATAGAGGGAACATACTGGAATGGATGGGCTTGCATCGTGGGGTTATGAGTGGCTTGTGTGTGACAGGAGCTTAACTGTAAGCAACTTCAATCGTGAGAGGGCCCCATTGTCTGAGTCAGTATTTTCAACAGATCACATATGCTTTGAGGGAACTGAGCTGATTGAATGGTAGAAATGTTAGAATAGTTGCAGTGTCTAGGGAGACCTGACATCTCTTCAGACTGCTGATATGCCAGCCATCTGTATGACCCATACACAGCGTATGCGATTTAAATCACAGCTTTCAACATGACTCATCTACATTGCATTACATATTAACATAATTAACTCTGGGTTACAAAGATATAGACCAGGGTCCTGTACTGTAGCATAGTGAAAACTGAACTGAACATTTAGGTTCAGTAGAAGGTGGAAACTGAATAACTGTTAGTTTCTCAAGGGCTCTGCTGCTTCAAGTTTGATATATGCAGTACATATAACTCCAGTTAAGGTTTAAGGGAATCTTTTAGAAATAATATTCCTTTTTCACAAAACGTTTTACTGTGATGACAAATCATCCTGGCTCATCGGCTAGTGAGGCGAGAGATTGTCAAACTCACGGGGCCAGAGAGAAGTGATTTTAATGCTTCTTTGATTTGTACCTGCTACAGCCAGACTTCTGCTCTTGAAAATGTGAATTTCTTTCCAGATAACAGAGAAGTAAGATATTCCGTGATCTCTGGCTTCATCTTTCTGAGGTTTTTTGCCCCTGCCATTTTAGGACCTAAACTGTTTGATCTGACTACTGAACAGATTGTAAGTATATACTGTATTTGAATGTAGTCTCATGGAGCGCAGTGTAGAATTGGAGGCAAACTGATAGAATCGAGCAACTCAACATTAAACTGATATTTCCATTTGTGCTGTTCGCATTTAGAAAAGGAATGAAGTGAGTTGTCATCATGGAATCTCCTCCTCTTCCCCCTCCCACTCTTCCTTCATAGTTCTCAATTTTCCGTTAGTGGAACCCCCCTCCCATGATGTCTTCCAATATGTTGTTCCCAGTCATCCTACAGTTCCCCTTCAAAATTTCAGTTCTCGTGCTCTTCTTGGTAACTTTATTTTGTGCAGTCCCTTGTAACTATTAACAAAGTTTAAATTCCAACTTCATCTCTAAAAATTCCATTTGAAATTCTGTCCCTCATTGTTTTTTCCTTCAATTATAAAATATCCATATCCATTTCTTGGATTTTGCTTTTGTTCTCTGTGAGGGCTCATGCTTTGGCACTGTATGTTAGTACTGGTTTAAAATGTGCTTTCTGAGGTGGTGTTTTGCATTGCTTTGGCATTGCCGTGTTCCATAATATTCCTTCTATGATTCTGTTGTGATTATGAAAAGAGGTGTAACAGATTGGTAGGCAAATGTGTTTGTATTATGAATCAATGGAGTATCTGTATGATACATGTTTATGATGCTTGCAGGACTCGCAGACGAATCGTACGCTCACTCTCATCTCAAAAACAATTCAGAGTCTCGGTAATCTTGTAAGTTGCCGGTCCGCCCAACAGACGCGTAAAGAAGAATACATGTCAGCCCTGTACAAAGCTTTCTGCACGAAAAAACACATGCAGGCAGTGCGTCAGTTTCTCGAGATCATCTCTGCCTCGTCTGACCCCGGACATCGAACTCTAGACTCTCCTGTCATACTGAAAGAGGGGTAAGGAAGGCCATTGTGTAAGGTGGTGCTGTTGGTACAGTGTCCTGGCAGAGGCAGAGTAGCAGTCTGCAGCTGTGGCTGTACTGCACTCAGGCCATGCTGTAGCAAAATCACTTGGCCACTGGCTTCTTACTGAGGAGGCCTGGGTTCAGTCCCACTGTAGTCAGCATGGGATTTGTAGTGGACACAGTGGTGCTGGCAAGGTTTTTTCCCCAGCACCACTTTTCCACACTTGTGTGTTGCTTGCAGTTCACTAACATAAAAATATATCTGAAAGGAAATTTAAGTTGAAACTGTAAATTGGAACAATATTTTGGAGGTGAAAATTAATTCTAGGCCTCCTTGGCACTTCCTGTCACTATAGCCCAGTTAGTGGGATGTGAGCTCAGCCTTGCTACCAGCAGGCTGTGCCCCCGTATGGAGCTTACAGCTCAAGTCTCTCTGAATTGCATGTACACGCAATCTGGACTGAACTCTTTGTCACCCATGACTGTCAACATCTGATTGCCTCTTTTTGTTTTTGAAGTCTGAAATTTGTTAATGCTTTATGTTTTGTCTTTCATTGCTCAACTATGGAACTAGGAAAAGGTATGTTAAATACTGTTATCTCTCAGTGATTACAGCATCACGACTTCTATATTCTGGAAACCGCGGCCACACAGACTCAGTTTTGTCACTTCTTGTCTGTGGAGTGTGATGAACTGAACAAGTTGGCAAGTGGACTCATGCTCAGGGTACAGTCATATCAAATCACAGTTGACACCAACAATCTTGGCCAGGGTTGTTTGTAGTTTTCCTTGGTCCCTCCATGCATATGCTGGAATCTACCTTAAATTAGGCCATGGCTGCTTCCTTCTACATCCTTTCCAATTCATCATTCACTCAGCAATCATTTTGTACAGTGTAGTTTGAGTTTCTCACATCATTCAGTAAATGACAAATACAAATTGAATGTGATCATTTTACAGGGTGATGATCAAACGAGCGCAAGGCAGGAAGAGGTTTGGCCGCAAGAACTTCAAGCAGCGTTACTTCAGGCTTACAACTCAGGATCTCACTTATTCTAAAACTAAAGGTATGTGTCATAATGTGATAGGGTTCTGTCATAACTAGAGGCTGGGTTCTCTAACACTGCGCAGTGTCTGTGTGCTTCATGTCGCCAGGTAAGGAGCCACTGTGCTGCATCCCCCTGGACCAGATTCTGGCTGTTGAGAGATTGCAAGAAGACTCGTTCAAGATGAAAAACATGTTCCAGATAATTCAGCCCGAAAGAGCCCTCTACATTCAAGTACGTGAGTAGGTCTAAACCTGCATCATTATCCCAGGGAAGCTTGGAGTTCACGTGACTAATATTTACAGGTTGAGTTCCTGCCTGATGTAGGGGACCAGTATAGTGACAGGCTGTGTACTATAGAGCCAAGGAATCGGGGTTCAATTCCCAGCAGGGGAAGAACTTTTCTCTTTCACAACATCAAGACCAGCTCAGGCCTCCTGGTGCTCCTTAAAGGGGCCAGTGTTAGAAGCCTACCACTCTCCTTCACCTACTGCCCATTTCAAGACTGCACAACTGTGGCTTATCTCCTCCACACATCTGTAGTGTGGTGCTTATTTCATTGAGACGGACCTCTCCCTGCCTGACAGAACACATTGTGTCTCCATTACTTAGACCAGTTAGTGCCATCTGGCAGTAGTGACTGTATTGCTTGGAAAGTATTTAAGTCTGCATGTTTTGCTGAGCCAGGAAGTGTATGACATGGCCACAGATACTACAGAGACAGTGCAAACAGTAACGACATGAGTGAGGTAAGTCTGATTTCTGGTTGCAGTGTATATAAGAATATCTTTCTGAAATATGAACATTCTCCAGGGTATGAGACAAGGTGTGCCAAGGGGCACAAGACAGAGATTAGTCCCTTTATCCAGCAACTGATGGAGGAAATGTAATTAATTGCTAAACCATCTTGGATTAAAAAATCAATGTCCAAATTGTCAGTCATATAGATTAATATGAGTAAAGAGTCCTGCCTATTTCTGTTCCTTCCACTTGGAGCATAGGACATCTGTGAAATGCTTCAGTGTCTTAATCTTAGACAGTCGGTAGCACTCCTTGGATGGGGGGTCAGCCCGATGCAAGGCCGCTACTTGTGCAGGACAACACAAGCAGAATAAATTCAGACAAATTTCCATGCCTTGAGTGCAGTTTGAACCCATGATCCCAGTGTTCAAGCAGGTGAAGACATTGCATGCCCTTAGACTGTGCAGCCACTGTGATTGGCTGAGTGTAGAGTAGCTGGTATAAAAATGAAGAGATTTTCCATTGAATGTTCAGAGCATATTATGCCAGTTAAAAAAAAGTGTTTGTGTGCATGTCCAGCCTAATTCTTTTCTTTGTGAATTTGATGTTTCATGAATCTGAAGGGATTCAGAAGGAAATCTGTAGCTTCTGGTATTAGCATGGATTGGTGTCAGCACCTGTGTCCAAGATGACATGGTTTTGAGTCCCCTGTTATTGTCCATTCTGAAGTAGAGTGGTAATGTCTGTGTTCATTGGTTACAGGCTAACAACTGTGTGGAAGAGAAGGAGTGGATTGATATCCTCACAAAGATCTGCCAGACGAATGCAAATAGGCTTGAGCGTTACCATCCATCAGCATACATCAATGGACGTTGGATGTGGTGAGTAGTGCATGCGCGTTCCTCTGATTCTTCAGCAGCCTGTTCCCAATTGATGTTCTTCATTTTCAGGGCTCTTTCTGTGGTCTGTATAAGTTTGTGCTTATAGCACGCCTTGCCTTCCTGTAGTAACTTACAAATAAATTTTCAAATTTTTTAACTCCATTATGATAATCTTGCTTAAGTTTTGGGAATATAAATGACTGGCATATACCATCATTGTACAAGCTTTACTGCTTCAAATATAGTCAGTTCTGGGACATGCTTTGGTCACTGAGTGATCATCTATCTATATGTGTGTCTACTCTGCCATTTTGTTTGGTTTTAAATAGTTCTTACATTGTGACTTTCAGTTGCCAAGCGCCAAGTGAGGTGGCCCCAGGTTGCAGCGATGTATCTCAAGGTCTGGAAGTAGGACTACAGATGGATTTAGATCCAGATCGAGAGCTTCAGAGGATCCACTCGCTGTTCATTGCGCACATGGACAGGCTGGACAGGCTCAGATGTAATTATACAGGACACACTTGCACAACAGTGTTGTGTTTTTAGCAGAGACTGAAGATAAGGTTGTTTAAATATAGTATGTCAGATCCTTCAGATGTCCAACGTCGGACATACCAACAGGAAATGCCCTTTCCTTTTAGCAAGAGGTCTAGATTTGGACATAACTATTTCTGTTTGTTTGTTTGTAGTTTATTTAGCAATGTCACCAGTAGCTCAGTCTGTATTGCATTGAATGATGAAATAATTACTGAATAAATGAATTGGAAAGAATGTGTTAGGAAATGGTAATGGCTTAATGTGAGGTACGCTTCCAGAATATGGATGGAATAAGGAAAACCACAAAAATCCTGTCATTTTAGAGAATATTTAGGCTGAGACTAGAACTCAGGACCTCCCAGATATGAAGCTGGAGTGCTGCTTATTTCACCATGATGTTCATTGTTACTTTTTACCCTTTGGTGTTGGTCTGTCCCTGGCAGTGACGGGAAGTTAACAAGTGTGAATTGCTTGTCTGTGACTTGATTAACCTTTAAAGTACGGACTTTTAAATTGTCAAAAGCCTGCTGCGGCCAAAATTTAAATGGCCCTAAGTCTTTAAAGTTGCAGACTTTAAGAAAAAACTACATATCTCTTTGACTGGCGCGAAGGGTATTTAAATCCCACCCCTTTCCTGGCAGGCCCTTTAAACCTTATGTCGCTAAAATGCATGTAGTTACTTTTTCCTAAACAACTTCAACAAAAATTGGTTTTTAAAAACGAAATTTTTAGGAACTAATTAAAATACAATATTTTATGCAATAAATGCTTTTCCACGCCTCTTTATTAGTTTTTCTTCGTGTGATAAACATTGAAACATGAAAGTTTGCAGAGAGCCACACCGCAGCCTGCACACATGATACTTGTTTCTTTTCTAACCTTGTGCTTAGCACTCACGCGACACTTTCTCAGGGCACCATTCTTCTTATTGTTACTGTTAGGAACATGGACCATTTTGTGAATTTTCAAGCCACCCTCTAGACGATTTGCTGGCTCTTTCACTGGTGGTCTTTTCAAGGTCGAGGGCGGAGGCGTGACTGCACTCTAGTCTGACCCAATAGATTCGTCATCCACTTCATTCCTTGACTTTTCTCCCTCTCCACACTGTTTGTTTGGTTCAGTCATTTTTCTACACAGTCCAATATAAAATCTTTGAATCTGTAATTTCTCTTCTTGTATTTTTCGTTTGTTGTGTTCTTTTTGAATAGAATGAAACTATTCAACCGCAAAGACATGTTTTGTCCAAACCATGGGTGTGAAATATGGGCCTAGTGGACAAATATTCTTCAATTTCAGGGCGTTTGTCGATTCCTGTCATGAACACAATTCCTAAGTATGTCCAGATTTCATCTGATGTGACATAATTGTAATTGTGTTTTCGAGAGTGAGGAGCTAACTCATGTGTGTTGAAGTGCTGGTGAGCATAGCGATTGGTTTCAGTTGTGATGTGATTTACCAAGTCGTCATCCAGAAAAAATTTTAATCCATGAAAAGGGATGCATTTTATGTGTTATATCAATTTTGATCCCGAAACTATTAGCAAATGGAAATATTGGGGGTACAATGTCTCCGTACGTTCATGAGATGGGCGTGTCAGGCACCGCACTCGTGGTAGGTAAATGTTCATGATTACTGTCTTGTGGATCATTGTCTATCACTGTATTATTGTCACTATCAACTTCATCCAATTCAGGAATCATTATTTCATCGCCACTATCATCATCAGAAAAAATCTCGTTCACAACATTTTCCAGCTGGTCTGTAGGAACACGAAGACACTTGCTGCAAGAAGCCATGGTGAAACTGAATGAATGTGAAATATTTTCTGACCTTTTCCTTCTCAGAGGGTTCTGACAGTAATATAGACCCCCACAAAGTTTACAAGGGTTCTTTACAAACATGCACAAAAACTATCATATATATGTCTTTGGTTGATGAGTGCCAAGAGAGCAAAGAAGGGAAGAGATTGTCAAAGCGTTAAAACACGCCAACGCCAGGGAACGGCTGGCATCGTCCGGGCGTTAAAACACGCCCGCGCCAGTCAAAGAGATATTATCCATTCTATGCAATATAGAAATATGAACTAAAATGGCCTGAAAAATAATTAAAATTTTCTACATATACACAAAAGAGCAATTTTTACAAATGAAAATATGCTGTAATTATTCTGTCATGAAATGCAAAATATTATCTTTATTATATATATTATGAAATTCCAAAGGACTTACCCGTAGTTTTTCTTGAAACTTCAGACATGTTGATTTTGTAAAAAATAATCACACTATATACAATAATCCTTTGTTCAGACTGTGCGCAAGTATAAACTGTGGCACTTCACAGTTTATGATAACTCCGTTCAGTGTTCAGACTCTTGACGCACGTGCACTACTGGTAGAAGCAGTCGTCGACACACAGACTAACATCACACTTTTTACAATAGAAGAGGGTGCCCCTGGTTTTCTTATTTCACGAACACACACAACAGCACCTTTGTTTCCCTTTGGATGGCCAGTGTTGCGAATGTTTCACTTCTAGTCGCCTCAGTTGGGCCCTGGATGAACTTGGCCTCCCCTGAGAAATGCCACTGACCGGGTCTCCTCTGAGAAATGCCAGTGACCGTGATATTCACCTCATCTGACTGTACAATCAAATCTCGCACTAGGATTTCATGGAATTTTTTATGTGTCATTTTTCCGCCACTTTACTTTTGCAATAAATATACTAGGTGGATCAAATATGACCGGGACTGATTTTTTTGTAAATAAGCCGCACTGCGCAGCAGCTGTGCGACCTTGAGAGATTGTAGCCACAACCTCCTCTCTTCCTCCTGTTAGGGTTAGAACCTGTTCACTGCTGTCTGGGAGTTGCTAGAGGGATGAGCATACGGAAGGTACCGCGGAGCGTGGAAAAACGCATTGCGATGAAGTTCCTCGGAGAAAATGTCGCGTCCGCTGAAATTCACCACAGACTCCAACAACAGTATGGGGAAGAGTGTCTCTCACGGACCCCTGTGTTTGAGTGGTGTAAGTGCTTCAGAGAGGGCAGAGAGCACGTGGAGAATGAAGCGCACGATTGTCGGCCGCGAACATCTGTCACAAAGCCAAACACTGATCGTGCAGACGCACTTATTCGTGAGAATAGGCCCATCACTATCAAGGAACTTGGAGCAATGCTGTCCATCAGTGTTGGTAGTGTAGAAGGCATCGTGAAATATCACCTGCACTATCGCAAGGTGAATGCACGGTGGGTACCACGCACTTTGACAGACATGAACAAAATGGTGCACATGCAAGTTGCCAGTCATCTCCTACAGCAGTTTGAAGATGAAGGTGATGCATTTTTGAAGTCTGTAGTGACCACCGATGAAACGTGGGTACACTACTTCATTCCCGAGTCCCAGCAATCATCATGCGAGTGGCAGCATACCAGTTCTCCCAAACCCAAGAGAGCGCGGAGGAGCCGTTTGGCAGGAAAAGTGATGGCAACGTTCTTCTGGGCCTGGCAGGGGGTTATCCATGTAGACTTTCTGACAGATGCCAGAACAGTCAATGCAACTTATTACTCAGACCTCCTGGCAACAGACGTGAAGGAAAAGGTCCGATCCAAGCGGAAGAGAGGTGGAAAGCGGGTAGCCTTCCTTCAAGACAATACACGCCCCCATACGGCCAAAACAACAATGGAAACCCTCTGGAAATTGAAATGGAACCTTCTGACACATCCGCCGTACAGTCCCGATTTGGCACCAAGTGATTTCTACCTGTTCGGAAGGCTCCAATCAGACTTGCAAGGCATGCGGTTTGTGGACGACGCCATCATCCAGACTGTTTGGGAATGGATACGCCACCAACCACAAGTCATTTTTTGGGGGGGGGGCATCAGGATGCTTCCAGAAAGTTGGAAAAAATGTGTTGACTCCGGAGGGGAGTACATTGAAGACTGACATGTGCAAGTAAGTGTTTGGCAATTAGGTTTTTTTTTTTTTTTTTAAATCAGTCCCGGTCATATTTGAACCACCTTGTACATTGAGAATAGTCATGCCTAGATAGTGGAAAAACAGTTTCTTTGTCCGATTTCCATTTCCTCTGGGCAATTCCATAACTATTTACCATCCTGTCAGATTTATCCACAAAGCCCATATGTGCACTGTTGTCTTCAGTGGCTTTATGCCTCTACCGAGACACAAAATAAAAATGTTTTATAAATAAATAATTGACAATCTGGCACTGACTTTCTGACTCATAATTCACCTCTGAAAACGGCCCACTTCCTTGCAAGCTCAGGCAGCACTAACCTGCATGCTAAAATGAATATTTACTTCTCAGTTCTCAAAATAAAGCTGTGCTCTATTTGGCTGACCCAGTCATAAACAGTCATATCAAAACCAGTACTGTAGTAAACAATTTCATTGTTCAGAGCTAACGAATCAATCTCCAACTTGACCTTGCGTGGGTTTGTTTTGGTTTCAACCCAAAGATTGAATTGTCAGCGCTCCCAAAGAGAACACGTGCTATGTTAGATAAATCTAACATTCGGCCACAATTCTCCTCAATTTGATCACCCCAGTAATATCTGTGAAGAGTCCAAATTGTGAAGCCATTCATTATGCACTTTGTTCCAGGCTTTTGTCTTCTCACTTGTGTCTAGGTACGCAGGAAACTGATAAAACACATTCTCTATTTTCTCCTAAATGCTGACAGTTTTAGTGCCACTTATTTTTGTTCATGGCGTGGATATTCGGAGACAGGAAGTAGCTTCTGATTATTTGTCTGTGAATGCACAGTCCCCACTGTGGCAATGCTAATGCCATGATGTTGCTCTTGCAGCCGCGTGTGAATGCCAGGCAGTGTACACAGGTGACATGTGTTTCTTGCCAAGCTTCATTATCGAGGATGTGCAGTCATGTTTCAAGATGCTGAACCAGTTGAGGGAGACGGTGTTTAACTTGGAGCAGGAACATCGCAGCTACCTGAAGCTGTTGACTCGTGAGACCAAATATGGCAGCAAGTGAGTGTTGTGTGGGTAGCAGCCTTCTGATATGAACCCTTACACTGCCTACTCGTGCCAATCCAGATGGATCTGTATGCCCAGCATGTTTGAATACATTCACAGAGTTAGTCTGGGATATATATACCTCTTTCTAAACATTGCACCAGTAATGATGAAGATGCAGCAAGGACAACGTATTGCATGGGCCCATAATATTTATTAGCGTTAAGTACTTTGGTCTGGTTGACATAGACCAGAGGGGCTGGAGGGGGGGAACCGCGAGTGCTCTTGTCCCCACGGTCCGTGCGAAACGTTTCCATGACCTGAACATATTGAACTGCTATGTGCAGATTGTCTTTGAAGTTATATCATCAAGACGTGATATAGATCATTACATTAGTATCAGAAAGTTGCTGCATTCTGCCTTCAACATTTGCTGGGATTCTGTTAAACATGAGGTTGCCTGCTCAGAGATGTTTTAGGCAGACACTGATGACAGTTATGTTCAACAGACAGGCCCCAATAGGGGATGACAACTACCTGCTGCTGGCAGCGAGGGTCAGACATCAGGACAGCAGTCAGCTCAGGATAACGTGCAGCCTGCCCAAGTGACAGTGGCTCAGGTGCTACACGGATTGCGGTGGTCATGTCGCAGTGCCGTGCCACTTGAAACTATCTGCTGCTGGCAGCGAGGGTCAGACATCAGGACAGCAGTCAGCTCAGGATAACATGCAGCCTGCCCAAGTGACAGTGGCTCAGCTGCTACACGGGTTGCGGTGGTCATGTCGCAGTGTCGTGACATTCAAAACTATGCCAACAATTTTGGTGAGGTTGGGAACACTGTCAAATGTTGTTCATGTTTGTAACTTGATATCCATTTGCCTCATATTGACTTTCAGTGGATGTCACTGTTGAGTGCTCAGCACACGTCTCTTGTGTTGGGATGTCCTGGATTCAGATCTAAGCGTGGACATGGGCTATCCTGACTGAGACCTTTCATGGCTTCCTCAGCCCCCCAGGCAAATGCCTCGATAGTACCTCACATGCCACAACCACTTCCACGTTCTTTGCATTTCATTACCAGTTTATAATACGACTCTGTGTGTTGTAAGTTACTGGCAGTATCATTACATAAACATTACATTGCTCAGAAGCCGGGATCGTGGGTTCAAATCCCACTCGGCATGGATGTTTGTGTGTGTTTTTCTGTGTTTGTCTACAGGTAGAGGCCTTGCGATGAGCTGATCACCCACCCAAGGAGTCCTACCGAATGTGTAAGATCCAGAAAACTGAAGTGAACAGAGAAGTTCATGGAGGTAGGCCTAGGCCCACTGGGGCTGTAGTGCCAAGGAAAAAAAAAACTTGACTTTACACTTGTCCAGGACTGGCAATATAAATATAACTTCTTATGTGGAATTTCTCATACTGCACTTGCCAAAGTTTATGTTTATTCTGTTTTCCTATCAGTCTACACACTGAGAGTGTCAACTCTATATTGCCTTCTGTTAATGTTAGATGACGTCAGACATAGTTGTTCATATTAAATTGTTGCCAGTAGCATTGCATTATTGGAGGGGCACCATGGTCCTGCTGCCGGAGCGTTGCAGCCTTGCACATGTCCTCCAACCCTGTAGCTGCAGGACATTTTAAAGTGTCCTAATCCTGATGATAAACTTATCATATTATGCCCAGAATGAAATTGTGGCTGCCATTGTCACAGTTTTGGGAGATTTCTAAGATCTGCTATTGCAGGATGATTAAAGTTAAATGATTTGTAATAGCTTTAGCAGGCATACAAATGTAACATGAGATTATGTTGCTGCAGAAAGTGCATTGTAAAAATATGTTTTGAATGACTGCTGGGTGCCGCTTCAATAAGTTCACAGCCCTCAACAGTTTAGATTTTTAAAGCAATGTAAGTTATAATGTGCTCCGCCACCTTGCAGGGCCCTTCCATGCCTGAACATCACTGTAGGTCTTCCAGCCATTTATGTTTAGGCAGTGACTTTTAATCGGATATGCCTCGCAATTGTGCGATGTGTGTAGTGAAGCTGACTGAAGTATTATAAATATGACATAAGAACAATTCACAGCCTTTGTTAAATTGCTTCATATTGAGGCTTGTACATCATTTTCTTGTTTTTACTGTATATTGTTGGTAGTTCCAGTAGTGTCAGTGTTCCTGGCTCACTCTGCTTAACGGATATTTGTAATGGTACAGGGGGCCAGTTTTGAATGTATAAACTTTTAAGTTGGCACGAATTATGAAGGGTGCCGGAATGATAAGTCAAAATTGTGTTGGTGCTCCGTAAAGGATAGTAATCTCACTGATTAGGAGGAGGTTAGTAATTTAAAAATACAAAGCATTTATTAATTTAATTCGTAAATGAAATAGAAATTATGTGTTCGTACTCCAACTTAGTGAACTGTTTGGGGGGCTGTTCGAGTTGACCGTTTTCTGCTGCGCACAGTACAGTTACAAAGAGCCTCAAGGTCTGCTGAACACTGGTAAATTTTTTAAGCAAGCATCATCAGATGGTATAGCACTGCTGTTTCGCTTTAGCCATATTTGATATAAAACCGCAAGACTTGCTGGATGGACAAATAGTGATCATCATGGAATGTGACGATGACAGACATTCGGTACATTTGACGCAAATGAAGTTGGTGAAGAATCGCACAAAGTAGTGGTGATGCGTTTCCAGTTTCTGTTTCTCCTAGTTGCAATGTTAAGTTGCCCATTTTTTATACCATTATATATATATATAAGATTAATATATGTTTATCATAATTTGTTTAATATTTGAAGTGTGAGAAAGTTGGAAAAAGAGTGTTGATACCTTGCTGTGCCTTAGTGAGAACACCTGTTATTGTTTGCCCCGGTTTATATCGAACTGGCAGAATATACTTCAGGAATTAATAATTTGGATTTGAAACAAATACCATATCGCCTGATTTTAAAAGACTAAATATTCCACCTTAACTGCAAAACAGAGTTCCAGATGTGCCGGTGCAAATTTCAACATTGTAGAGAGATTTGATTTTGAACCTTAATTCCTTCAGAAACAGCCCTCCACCTTGAAACAGTGATGCACATGCCTGATCAGTGCATGTAATGGTAGTTATAAGAAAAAGAAACAAAACAAACTCCGTGGTTTTAGTCCGCAAGTGAACTATACTGACCGAGCGACTGCCGCTTGTTGGCGAACTTAGTGCCAGCTTTTGCAGATAAAGGGTGTCGTGTGGTCAGCATAACAGATCCCCATGGCTGTTAATCTTAGTTTTCTAGACCAGAGCCGCTATTTCCTGGAAATAGCTCCTCAGTTATCCTCATGAGGCTGAGTGGACCCCATTCCAGACTCACTACTACTCAGAAAATCTGGTAGCATTGGGAATCGAACCTGGACCTCTGGATCTGTAGCCAGGAACTCTGGCCACTAGACCACAGAGGCTGTGAACTTCAAAATATGAGAACCAGAGAAATTCAGAGAGTGACTGATTTTGTTGTGGAAATGGCGCTACACTTAAAGGTACTGTTCATCTGCTTGTTTTCTGGAGAGATAAACAAGTTAGTTTGTTGCTGTTTGTTTTGGTTTGGAAGGTGGAGGTCATAATTTTTAAAGGAAAATGTATTAAAGAAATTAAATCTCATTGAATTGATCTCATTCACTGTTCCTGAAACTGTGAGCTGAATGGCAATGTTGTTTTGTAACATTGTAGGTGATGAAGGAACGTCATAAATTACAAGATGCAAGCCTGCCAACTTTTCATGCTGCACATCATTGTGGATTGATTGTAAGACATCTACAGAATTTGTATTCATATTGTGGTGCGACACAGTTTAGGTGGGTGGGTGGAACACGGTGTCAGAACCCAAAACATCATCTCCATCTTCATTGTCAAAATTCCAGTTTTATTTTTATTACTTGTACGTTTTATACTTTGTATGAATACAGAAATGTATTTTTGCAACCTTGTGTGGCATAAGCAAAATGGATCTTAGAGAGACAGGATGGGATGGTATGGATTCGATTGATCTGGCTCAGGATAGGCACCAGTGGAGAGCTCTTGTGAACATGGTAATGAACCTTCGGGTTCCGTAAACTGTTGGGAAATTCTTGAGTAGCTGCAGATTTGGTGGCTCCTCAAGAAGGGCTCAGCTGCATAAGTAAGTAATGTGGCATAAGCAGTACAAATACATACTTTAATTAGGTAATATCAATATTTGTGGGGGGCACTATGCTACCAGCTGGAAGGTCACGGGTTGGGGTCCCAGTGAGGTGGTTTTTTTCAATTGACCTAATCCTTCCAGCCAGACTATGGCCCTGGGGTTGACTCAGCCACTAACAGAAATCAGTACCAGGAATCTTCCTGGGGGGTAAAGGGCAAGTGGCGCGTAAGGCTGACAACCTTGTAGCATCAGATTGGCTCGTTCAGAAATGGGGCATTGTATACATTGGCCTGAACAAGTGCGACTCTGTTGCATAGTGCCTCCCCAAAATGGACTTTCAGGTACCTGACAGACCCTGAAACAACAACATATGGTCACGCGTGTGGCTGTGGTAATATGTACTTAGTTTGCTTTCAAAAACTTGATCTTGCAGTTTTTCTGTAATAAAATTGGAAGACATCAGTCCAACAGTATGTTGTGCAGTTATGAACCTTGAATCAAATGCAGCCAGCAGCATATTACATGAAACCTTTAGGTTCAGTATGGTAGGATAAGCTACGTTTGTGTTCCGAACAGTTCTTATTTACATTTTGTTTTGTAATGTAGTGTACATCAATCATTGCTGGCTAGGTGTCTCCTTATGGCAAAACAGCATGCACACTGTCCAGCTGCCCAGGTGTAACATCTCATGTTAAATATAGCTGCCAGTAAAATTATACCAGGAGATGAAATCCCCAGTTCTTGGGTAGTAAAATGTTCTGAGATAAAATAAAATTCCCAGCTTCAGTGTATGGGGAGGTTTAAATTGACTTTTCTTGGATGATGAAGGTTAAGCTGGAAGAAGTAGGAGTTGGAGTGTATAAATTTAAAAAACTCTATACCAGTTTAATACAAATTTAAATGGTTTTTTAAATTGATACACTCAACTTTAATACAAAAGTTGGCAGGAATGCACATGTATGCAGTGTAGAGTGAAACGGATTTGTTTCCAGATTGTACCATGTGTGTTCATGTCTGCAGTAACAGAGGTATGCGCGTGGTGATACGCCTCCAGGAAGAAGCATCACAATTAAGTGGTGACCTCAAAGCAGCCTAAGCTTATAGTTGGACACATTTTTGCCCCCATAACAGCTTCTCTTAGCTGGCCTTAGTTCAGGGACTGAGAATGTTCCAGTGTTAATAAGTTTGTTTATTTGTGCTTGTGTGTCTGTGTTGCTTTACAGTGTCGTGTTTTGAAGTAAGTTTTAATATTTATATCAATACCAGAAAGGAGTTGGTAAAGATAGCTACTTTCTGTAATGAATTGGAAGATGACAATGAAACCATTTTCATCACTCATCACTAACATACTCGTACGAGGGGGGACCCAAAAATAACCGGAATTTATTTTTTTTATTTTTGCATTTTTATTGAACTGTATATTAGTCCCCTTCAAAGTACTGTCCATGTGCATTAATGCACTTGTTCCAACGCTTTTGCCACTGCTCAAAACAGTGCTGGAATTCTTGAGGCTGGATACTGTTCAAAGCCTTTAGCGTGTTTTCTTTGACTTCATCCACATCACAGAATCACTTTCCTTTCAAGACTCATTGCCAGTCACAATTCTTTTAAGAAATTCTGGATCGTTCTGCACTTCACTCTTCAAGTCGCGGCAAACATTCACGCAGTTTTCTCTTTGGTCATCTCCGAGCAAGCGAGGAACAAATTTTGCAGACACCCGTCTCATGTGCAAACCTTCGGTTAAAATTCGCTGGACCGTGCTCCATGAGATGTTCGTTTCCTCAGAAAGTTGGTCAATGGTCTTTCGACGATCTTCATCAATTGCACGTTTGATTTTGGCAATGTTTTCGTCATTTCTTCCTGTCGAAGGACGCCCGGGGCATGGCATGTCTTCTGTTGACATGTTGCCAGATTTGAAATGGGAAAACCACTCGTAGACCTGTGATTTCCCCAAAGCATCATCATTAAAGGCTTGCCGAAGCATCCCAACAGTCTCGGCTGCAGTTTTCCCTAACAGAAAGCAAAATTTCATGCACACTCTTTGTTCCTTCTGGTCGGCCATCTCACTAATTGCCAAAGGGTTGAAACAGGAACGCACACAACAGAGCACCACAGACAAACCACTTAACTCAGACTGACGCCAGCTCACACCACCTAGCAGCACAACTCGTAACTACAAAGCATGCGTGTGCAACAGGTCGGTTCCGGTTATTTTTGGGTCCCCCTTCGTATATGGGCTGTGAAAGTGATCTCTACAGGCCTTTATCACAGCCTGTGTCCATGTTTCAAACAAGCTTCCAAATTTCTCTCCCTGTGTGATGTTGCCAAGGCCCTACACAGAGCCCTAACTGTAATGCTAGATCAGGAACCATCCTTCCAAATTGAGGTAGGTCCTCATATCCAGTGGCTCTGACCATGTAGAACTGGAGGTCTCTGTTCTGTACCTGGGCATTGATGAAGTACATGTGACTGGTCGATCCTGTCTCATGTTCACATGTTCTGCTTGTGGTGCTTAGAGAGGCCCACAAGATGTGAGTGCTGCATCAGTTTACAGTGGTGAGTCAGCAGTCCTGTTACCAGCCTACAGTACTTCCTGCCCAAGTTTGTTGGAGTCTGAAACAGTTTATGCAGAGGCCCAGCGATGTATAGATTAGACTCAAAACTTAAGTTAGTCAAGTACAGGACTCTGATGTAACCACACACTAGGATGTGCTGAGTCCCATAGATGGTGCAGGTGGCAGCTGTCAGCTCTTCCGGCTTCTTCCATTCTGTTTACAGTTTTCATGGCTTTTCACATGTGTAAATGAGCCCATTAATGCTTGCCACAAGGAAAGGTTTGTTCAGTGTTCCTCTGAACAGAATGGCCAGGCATTTGGAAGTACACTGGAGGGGGGGGGGTTTGAGCCTTCTTTCTTCTGTGGTCTCAGTGCAGCTAGACATGCCAGTTAGCAATATAACTACAGTGCATGTGTTGTAAGATATCAGAAATGAAAATCACAGATTTATTCATTGTCTGATGATTATTGCTCCAAAACTCAAAAGCAGAGTTAGTGTACTGGACATTGTGATGTCAGTGTTGCCAACAGTTATTTCTGTTGTCAAACTGCTTCCATGTTACTTGTTTGACAGGTGCCAGCAAAGCTGATATGTATGATACTGATTGTGTGACAGAACACAATTAACAGTTCGTGGAAAGCTAACAGGATTATTTTGTATTAAGAAGAACCCCATTTGTTCTAACATCAGTGTAACTCTCCCAAGAGTTTCTTGTAAACACATATCTCCAGTTGTCACACATCCTTTGTACTAATAACCCTGACTGTGGACTGAGATTCTGGTAGGTCTTAACACACGTCAGGGGCCACTAACAGGTGAGATAATGCCTAGCAGAACATGAGTTTGTCAATCAGAGATCACATGTAAGTTGCTTCAGTTTTAATTGAGGTTTCTATTAATAGGCCTGAGCTGTTACATAGCCCACATTTTGCACTAAAATTAAATATCATGTTGTCTCTGCAGTTGCTAGGCAACTTAACTGGTTTGTGTATTTAGTGCAGAAGTAGTTTTATGTTCATGTCCATTGCTTGGCAACCCTTAAATGGATCAAGCAATTCCTGCACAATGGTAGGTAAGAAGATATATACAGTGTGTGGAATGTATGTGAATACTGCTGTCAATGACATATTTGTGATCAGTATAAACTATAACCGTATCAGATTCCAACAAGTGTAATGCCAAATGGGTTGGCACAATGGTAACACCCTTTACTTGTATTCGGGAGGTACCCGGTTTAAGTCACAGGACATTGGCATCCTGACAGGTTTATTGTGGCTTTTTTTCCCCAGTCGATTGCAAGGATACTATCTCTAGTAGGTCGTGACCACTTCCGTCCAAATCCTCAGTTCATTAATCATCCTTCAAGGAGCCACTAATCGTGTAAATATTGAAAGCATCATTAAATAACCCACCCAACAAAAAAACACCTAATTTGTGTTACTTGATCTACATAACCTCATCACTTGGCATAGCTTCATTAAATTATTTCTTCTTCAGCTGTTGCCAGTTTGTCCCACTGGGCTGTACTTATTCACAATTGACTTCTGGAACTAGAATTCTTCTAGACATACGGGATCAGGGTACCGTAACACATCTGCATACACAGTTGAGGCTCCACCTCCACTCCATAAGTTTAAGCATACTACATTTATATATAAAAACCAAACATATTCTTTGCAGTAGTTTTCAATTTTATTGCATAATATACAGTTACAGAAACGGTGTGCAAATGTATACTGCTTTTCTTCATATAAATGCTGAGATTGTACTTAAAAACAGGCCATGGCACCTCCTGGACCTGCCTTTTCTAAAGCAGTCTTAACCTTGTGGGCATTGCAGTATGTCACATTGAGGAAATCCTCAGTAACAGCAATCTCTGCGTTGTGTGATCCCACTTCATATATTGTGGAGAAAGTTCATTATCAATAGCATCTCAAACCACACTTTGCAACAACAGACCACAGTCCGCAACTTAACATTACAGATCCATCAGAAGTCATCTTTATCGACTGTCAGCCACAGAGTCTGTTGTCAATTTTTCAGAATTCTGTCCTTATTACTGTGCATACACTTCACTGTTCAGTGATGCACTTATGTCAATATGTATGCAATGTGCTTATGGCCATTCCATCCCCTCAAATTCTGACTGAAATGGGTTACCATCAAGACAGTTTCCAGGCTTCACATTAACCTATCATTGCCATCCATTCATGCCTTTGAACTCATTTTCATTTGATGATTCTGTATTCTCTCCATGGGTATATCACCAAAAAGCAGTAATAGCTAACATGTGTTACATCAGATCTTCAGAGTTTGCGCAGATCCAACACAAACACCTGGAAACAAAACAGTAGCATACAGACCCCATCTGTGTTGTCTGGAATATGAATGAACTGTGTGAGAAGTTGCAGCATCTGAGCTAATCGCAACATATTCAGCATATAGCACGGAATGGTAGGATGAATATTACAAATAGGAAAGGATCTGGAAGGAAATGGTTGTAGTCTGACTGAAATACTGCTCTCACATTTACCTGGAGAGACTAATTAAAGGTGCACACAGACATTACAGCTGAGCTACAGTGGTACCACTAGACCAAACCTGTCTGATGTATGCTGAAAGCTAGAATTGTGAATTCAGAGAAACAGCCACTGCGTAACATGCAACACTGGAGTAACTATGGGAAGCAGTGTTGTCTGTGCTGATAGCTATGTCACACGATAACAGAAAAACTGTTGGAAGTGACGTTTTCTGTGCAGTCTGTGCCGACGTTATGTAATGAGGATCAGCTGCCATTACAACAGAGTAGGAGCATCCATTGTTGGAAGCTGCTACCAAGCAGTGTGATAGTGGCTTGTAAAGTGGAGCCACAAGACGTGTGTTCAAGTATACAGTAATTCTGATTACCAATCTAAACCCCCTCTACAGTCAGTCCACATGACGATATAAATCTTCACCTATACCCAGGCAGATTACATATACTTGGCTTCTGGCATTAATAGACTGCACTTAAAATGCTGTTCAGTTTCTTGCAGAAGTGAGCTTCATAAATACACTCCACCAAATATGAGGTGACCAAATCAAGAAGAGTGAGATGGACAGGGGTTGTTGTATATGTGGGATTAGAAATGAACACATTTTAGTTGGAAAACATAAAAGGAAGACCATTTGCAAGATCTGGGTATGATAAGACATGATGAATCCTAAGGACACAGTGTCGAGGTGTGGACTGCATTGCATGATTCAGAACACTGATAACTGGCAAACTCTTGTGAATGTGATAATGAACATTCAGTTGCATAAAAGGCAGGGAATTTACAGAGTCAGCTTCTCAAGGTGGATTCTGTCGCATGGAAATAATTCACTAATTTCAGAAGCCGGTTCTACTCCAACCTTCACAGGCTGGTTGTCATCATACCAACAGATGCTGTCAGCAGTCACTGGACACTTGGAAGAGGTAAGGGATGCATGAATGTAGTATGGCCATAAGTTGCTTCTTGTTGCATTTTATGAATAATGCCAAAAGGTCAGTTAATTCCATCATTCTGTGTAGTACACTGATGTGGACCAACCACAAACTTACACTTCCATCAGATGCACTTGCCCCAACTTTGTCACCACGGGAATTCCAACAGACTTCAAAAATACCTCCTGTTCCTTTGTAACTATGTACAAGCTGCCCGCTCTGCAAAACAAAGCATTGTGTGAGCAACTCTTCTGTTCTCTTAAATACTGCACCTTACAGGCAACAGGACGCTAAAATACAACATAGTCAGCAGTCTACCTTACCTGTGTGGACCAGATATGCACACACTTATCGAAACTACCAGATGCTAGAAATTTGCCATCAGGAGAGAACGCCACACTGTATACCGGCTCTGTGTGCTTGGTAAGTGTGTGAATACAAGCGCCATGGTCAACGTCCCACAGTCGAACAGTGGAGTCAAATGAAGCACTGCAAATTATGATAACTATGTAAGACCCATAGTACTGCAAGATTTAAAATCCTATGTTTTGAAGCAGTAAAGGTATATTGACAAAACAAATTAATTTAGGGGATCAAGTAAATTATCAATCAGTTGGGACTGATACATACAAATGAATTTTTCTGTCAACAAGTCAAAGGTCCCAAAATATGGTGTTCTTACTATCAAGTGAACATTCCAACTGTCCTCACAACTTCAAGCAAGTGTTAACCCTGGTGACTCATATTAGTATACAGGGTGCCACATCTGTATATACGAGGGGGGACCCAAAAATAACCGGAAACGACCTGTTGCGTGCACATGCTTTGTACTTACGAGTTGTGCTGCTAGGTGGTGTTAGCTGGGGGTCTCCTGCGACTGTTAGTGAGCTGGCGTCAGTCTGAGTTAAGTGGTTTGTCTGTGGTGCTCTGTTGTGTGCGTTCCTGTTTCAACCCTTTGGCGATTAGTGAGATGGCCGACCAGAAGGAACAAAGAGTGTGCGTGAAATTTTGCTTTCTGTTAGGGAAAACTGCAGCCGAGACTGTTGGGATGCTTCGGCAAGCCTTTAATGATGATGCTTTGGGGAAATCACAGGTCTACGAGTGGTTTTCCCGTTTCAAATCTGGCAACATGTCAACAGAAGACATGCCACGCCCCGGGCGTCCTTCGACAGGAAGAAATGACGAAAACATTGCCAAAATCAAACGTGCAATTGATGAAGATCGTCGAAAGACCATTGACCAACTTTCTGAGGAAACGAACATCTCATGGAGCACGGTCCAGCGAATTTTAACCGAAGGTTTGCACATGAGACGGGTGTCTGCAAAATTTGTTCCTCGCTTGCTCGGAGATGACCAAAGAGAAAACCGCGTGAATGTTTGCCGCGACTTGAAGAGTGAAGTGCAGTTTTCCCTAACAGAAAGCAAAATTTCACGCACACTCTTTGTTCCTTCTGGTCGGCCATGTCACTAATCGCCAAAGGGTTGAAACAGGAACGCACACAACAGAGCACCACAGACAAACCACTTAACTCAGACTGACGCCAGCTCACTAACAGTAGCAGGAGACCCCCAGCTAACACCACCTAGCAGCACAACTCGTAACTAGAAAGCATGCGCGCGCAACAGGTCATTTCCGGTTATTTTTGGGTCCCCCTTCGTATGATTACCTTGCCAAGATAAGATTCATGTTTGGGTTGGGAGTGCCTGGACCTGTGGGGCTCCATTTGATCGTGTAGATCTCTTTGCTATGTGCTTGCAGGTCATGGACACAAGTTTCCTGCTTCATGGACCAGATCTTCAATGTCATGTCATCTGAACATGATGCTAGAAGGTTCCCTTGTGGATCCCATTTTATTGCATTCACCTCATTCTGTGAAAAGAAACATCTGTACATTATGTTATAGTCACTCCCTGGTCAACCTAATTTCTCATATATTCCTACAGATGGCACATGGAAGTGTCCAATTTTTGTCAAACGGCATCATAGATGGACTGAAAGTACTGATCTTCCAAGTAGATTACATTATGAAAAAATGGTCACAACCTATCTTAAAATATTAACATACATCATAAATTACATGTATATGTACAATGGAATCCCCATTTAATGTTCAATTTGAGATATTCTCTCATTTAAGATATTCTTCGATGTAATGTCTGGATACACAGCTCTGAAAATAAACCTTATATGGTGGAAAGGCCTGAAAGAATGCATGCAGAACCTTAGTCAGAATAGGTGAGCAGTCCACTAATAATGCAATTGGAACTTTCCAGCTGCCTGAAATCTGTGTTTCAATTCTAGGATGAACAGTTTTATAAAGAACAAGCAGGAAAGCAGAAGGTGACTGTGCAGACACTGGCACACAAGCAAGCAGCCTTCTCTCAGCAAAAATATCCAAAGTCAGTCAAAATACTGTCATAGTATAACACATTCATACACAGTTTGATATGGTTCACTTTGTGGACACACATTTTATGTTAAAATAAGATGTGAATGTCACTGGAGTAAATGTAACTTTTCTTATGCTAATTAAATAGTGTTCAATCCTCAACATGTTTTGGTCATAAATGACCATCTTCAGTGAACTTCAAAAAGAAAATTCATCTATTAGTTCAATGTCAGTTTATGATTTCCGAGCACAGAGATGATGACTAATTTCTTTACAAAGAAAAAATCCTTCTGCCAAGCCTGGACAAGTGTTCTTCACTACAGCTGTCCCATCCATCTGTGAGCCTGACCTGAGGACCTCGAACGGTCTACACACACTCCCTCAGAATGACATCTAACGTATAAAACTAGGACATACTGTGTGGCCTTGGAATGATTTGATGGGTTTGTCGACACTCAGCTTACAGACGTGAATACACTGATCAGTACTGCAGGATGCAAAGCTCGTATTGGTCTGCCAGTCAACATCCAGCGCAGGGGCCGAGTGGAATGAAAACTGTTGGGTGCACTGTCCAGATGCTGCATCCCAGATTATAGTTGTCTGATGGAATGAAATGGAATTGCAAATATGTTTAAATACTGTCAATCTTGGAAATGCAGTTCCACGTAGGATATGGATAGCAACTTTCTACAAAGTTTTCAATATACACTATTTTAAATAAAAATTGTATCTGAATGAAAAAAAATACAGGTTTAAAAGAGTAACCTGGTGCTAGTAAAGCAAACAGTCCCCACAAACTATAGCTGGAAAACTTAAGAAACCAATATTCAGCATTCTGGTTAATAATTCAGTCCAGTTAGAACTGATACCATCTACAAAATCTAATGTTATAATTTTAGCGTCCTGTTGCACTGATTTATGTCCATGATTTATTCCAACCGTCTTACAGTGCATACACTCATCCACCTCACTCTTCTCTCCTGCACTACATGTTTCGGCACAAAGGTGCCACACGCAGTCACAGGAGCAAGACACAACACAAAGCACAATACACACGAAAGTAGGAAGAGTGCTCCAATAGAAGAGGATAGGTGTGACTCGCGTATTGAGATGCGACGTAGGGATGAAAAAATCCTGAACAGTTTTAATATATTTAATATTTATCAATATATATGATGAATATATATTTTAGTTATTTTAGTATGAAGACGGCAAGGCATGCAGTGAAGTAGTTTAACGTAAATAGAAAAGCACCTGAAGATGGCACCTTTGTGCCGAAACATGTAGTGCAGGAGAGAAGAGTGAGGTGGATGAGTGTATGCACTGTAAGACGGTTGGAATAAATCATGGATACAAAATCTAATTTGATTCATATGCACGTAGCATTTTTAATTTCAGATGGATGCATGAGTCTGAATCAAGTCACTATCATTTACATTACTACCTCAGTAACAAAAAGAAATAACCAGCACTTTATGCTGCCTTCAACCCTCTGCATGCCTCAGGCTGCTTAGATCAGCTCAATTTTGATCACTTAGCACTTGCCAACAGACAGAAAGTGTAAAGTGCGATATACCATTGTTTACAGAAAAGAACACGCTTTCACACAACTGATACTTGTGAGCACTTGAAGTGTTGCTGGTTTTTCTGTGCAAGACAATTACCTCCAAGCAGCCCTGGCACTTCTAGCAGGTACTTCTGTGGCAGGGATTGGCAGTCAGAGGACTAAAGATATTTCATTCCTATTTAAAATAATTAATGACCACAGAAGGGAATTCTCCATGTAAAATTATGTTTTTGGATTCATATCTTCCATAATTACACTGAATTACATCTTCTGGTTTTGTCTTCCAAATGATGGCTGTTTCTTACATTTTAGTGTTCACAGTTTATCCACCTTTACTTCCATTTAAATTATGTGCACAGTAGACACCCAAATTGTGAGAAAATTGTACCACTGTAAAAGATATATTCACATGAATATGGGGAGGTTATGTTCTCAAAAGAGAAGTCTGTTCCATGCAATTCAAGCAGAACAAGCATCACTGTATGGAATCTCCACTAATTATGATGCCACTTACCTTATCAACTCCAGCACTAAGAATATAGTTGCCTCGTTTGTTCCATTTTAATGCAAAAATTGGTCCTTTATGCTGTCCAAGTGTGCTAGCAAGTCGTCCATCTGTTGTCCAAATGCGAGCATAGCCATCATAAGAACCAGTTGCTAATAGGGTCCCATCACACTGCCCACAGAAGACAGAGAATTTGTTAGCATATATATCACCCTATCCTCGATAACATCACAGCTGTCAAACTACCTACATTCCAGTCCAGGGAGGTGACATCTTTGTTGCTTGGAACTTCTGTTCCCCCTTTCTGGATACAGTGGCGTAACACCAGCTGATTTGGAGAGGAAGAGTTGTCACTCATGTCCCAAATACGTGCTGTACTGTCGCCGGACCTGAAACACCAGTTCATCTTAAGTTCTATATTCTTTTTGTGAATCTGCAATGTCCATTTGATGATGGTGTAAAGTTGTAAATTATAAGTAACTACATTGTGGCCATGAGAGTTGCAATGGCTCAGTACAATACCAGGCTATGGGCCAGGGTTCAATTCCCATGCCTATCACTTTTATGTGTCTTGAATCTCACTGTTTTACATAATTTGAAATGTCCTCTTATTTTTTATGTCCACATTGTAAATAAGGTGACCTGATGTTCTCAGTGTGAAACATCAAAATCTCAGCCAAAATGTCCCAAGTTTTATCCATGGTCAGTTTTTGGCTGTTTTTCTGCTGTCACTTTTACAGTTTCGGGAATGTAAACCACATAAGACACCCTGTAATTCAGGGCCCAGGTTAAGCCGCAGGTCCTCTCCATTGACTATCATATGACTGGGATATGACAAGTATCCTACCTCAGAAACATGCCAGAGGTCAAAAAGGCCAACAAGTCATATCTACATGCACACATACATATGTATATACAATAAAGTCCTACCCTGATGCCAGTAAATCAGTAGTCGGATTCCATGCGCAGATGAAAACCTCCGATTCATGGCCTCTTAATACTGTAGCCTTGCTTGGTGGGATTTCAATACTGCCATCAACTTCCATATTTTCAGTAACATTTGATGTCACCGCTGAAAAACACAAGTCATTATTCTGTTTCAACAATACAATACAATCAAATCAATTACACTCTTCTGGCATATGAAGACTTGCAGTCTGGTAGATAGATATCGATGTTTCTAGTATCCTGAGGATGGAGGAAGTATGTTACCCTCTAGTGTTGGTACCTATCTACCAAACTACATGGTCTGACTCTAACCTCAATATTCATGGATATGAGAACCTCATGAACTGTTACCTTCTTCACCATTTGTGTCTTGCATTTCAGTTTTAACAATTTGCTGTTTCTGTTGATTCTGCTGATTCTGACGACTTGCAACTACATCAGGCATTACTGCATCAATCAGAGACAAACTTTCCACTAAACGCTGCTCTGTTCCATCCTAAAACATTTAACATTACAACTAAATTTTAAGAAAAACGGTTTCTTGGTACTGGATTCTTGGAAGTAAAATCTATGTATTTTGACATCAAAATCTGCTTGATTCTATAAACTATCCTTAAACTGTAAACAATATAAATTTTAAATAAATTGTTACTTCTCCAATGCTTATTTCTGCTTCAGTATACTGCAATCCTTTTTGAAGTATACTGAGAAGGGCAGCTGGGGGTACTAGAGCTCCATTAATGTTAGACTGTGAAATGTGCGATTCAATACCAAATGTGTAGGCTGAATGCTGGAAACCTGTGAACAGGAACAAGATTACTTCTAGCATGGAAACAGGTTATGTCTGGTCTGTAAGTAAACTAAAACGTACTTAAAACTGGTAGCCTATGTCAAGGTTGTATGAAGAAATATATTTTTCTTCCTCTATTCATGTTGCTTCCACTTAGTGCGTATGGCATCCGTGAAATGCTTCGTTTCACTTCAGTTTCCTAATACTAAGACAATCGGCTCAGCTCCTTGGGCGGGAGATCAACCCGTTGCAAGGCCGCAGCCTAACATAAACACAGAATAGACACAGACATCCATTCCTTGCGTGGGATTCGAACCCACGAACCCAGTGTTCGAGTTGGCAAAGACATTTCATGCCTCACAATCACGCGATCACTATGGTCGGCATAAATATGAATGTTCGTGCATACATTCGGTTTTCGCCAAAATTATCTCACCTGACTCTTGGAGATATCGGTAAACAAGAAAATTAACCTCATCGCTTGAAAAACTCATTGTCACAGTCATCAAAATAGTTTATTGCGACATCAGAAATCTTATCAATTGCTCATATATCTGTTTTCTTTTCAATACGGTGAAAACAAAATTTCAGCCACAGCTCAAGGACAACAAGTGACAATGACCGCATACACCAACTGTTGAAAGTTACAATCTCTAAATGGCTAAAGGGAATGCTTGGGCATATTAAAAGTGATTGTTTCATTCGTTTTAATAATAGTAGTGAGACATATTACAATATTTGAAACAAATAATACAGGTAATTATGAAGAAGTAAGCTTTAAGAAAGTTAAAATTCTAACCTAGCTTAGTGGAATTGACTTGATTCGGCCATTTGTTTGAGACCCAAAACGTGGAATAAATGATATAACGTCCGGAAATTGGGTTTAATCCAAGTCTTCTTTATTTTTCTTTTATTTCATGAACAATCGGATGTCCCATATACCTATCCAAATCCCAGAAATCTGTATGTTTATTTCCTACATTAATTTAAAAGGTTTAAGGAACATCCGTTTATTCATTTTCAAGCCATTACTTATCTACCTACAGTACTGCCAACCACGAAGACAACAGCGTAGCGTTTCGAAATTCAAAACTTGACAAGTGATTGTAAACATGCATTATATTGTAATATTAGTAACGATTTTCTCTCTGTATAGTTTGTCAAGGGCTTTTCGCGGCCGACAATGATATCAGAGCTGTGGCATAACTATTTTTCGTAGTAAATAAGCCTATGTTGTAATATACGGAGAATGTCAATTAACATCTCCGTCCATGGGAGTCCGACGAACATTCGAAGAAGAAAGATGCTGCTTACAGATATTGAAAATCTGAAGAAGAATGAAATAAATCGGCGCCGAAGATTACGTCTGGAACAGGTAATAAAATGTTCTTTCTTAACCTTTCTGGAAGGTTACCATGAAACCAAATAATGCTTAGAACGCCTAGGTTATGACAACGTACATATTATAAGGTTGTTATGAACCGTGGAGGTATCCATGATCTGTTGTCCGAAGCAGGATACACCTTGGTGAAGAGGAGAGGTGGACACAGAATCATATGCCTGCAAAGCATCATACCCATTTAATTAAATAGGTGTGTTCCATAGTAATAATGTTGGAGGATCATGCTGCTAACAGTGAGGAAGAGGCTTTTCCCTACCAATATGTATATCAGTGACCTGTGGTCATTCCCTGAATTCGTCCCTGTAATGGAGACATGTAATTATCCAAACATGACAAATTCAAATCCAAATAACTAACTGCAAGGAGCAGAGTACTTCTTGAAAAGTTAATCAGTAACTCCACCTTTTTTATTGAACCCATTGGTTTACAAGAACCTGTCACTGGGCTTTTTGTAGTTGGAAGAACATGTCCAGTTCTAGTGTTTTTACAGTGAGGGGTTGTTAGCTTCCTGCTGGAGCATCAGCACTTCTTGGCTTTGCAACTGCTTGTTCGGTATATCTTCAGCTACCTGCTGTATTCAGAGTCTGTTTCTTCCATCTGTTGTGATGAAAAGTTTCCCACTTGACCTGGTATTCACATCCAAATATAACAAAACAAATACCAGCATACACTAAATCAGGAGGCAATGTATTCCTCTGAAACATCAGGTGATTTTCACTAGACTCCATGAATTGAATTGAATTGAATTGAATTGAATTCATTTGCATTCCATAGATCCTAAGTAGGTTAATACCTCTGGATATAGAACAAGTCAAAATAATACCTACTGGTACAGTAATTTTATCTTAAACTAATATAGCTTAATTCTACATTATTCTCTATTTACATTGAGGTATTCGTCTACAGAGTAGAAGGAATGAGCATGCAGATATTTCTTTAGCTCTGATTTAAAATATTTAGTATCATTACTCAAGTTTTTGATACTTTGTGGGAGACTATTATACACTTTTATGCCAGAAAAGCGGACTCCTTTTTGATATAGAGATTAAGTTTGATGAAGGTAGATGGAAGTTATATTTTTGTCTAGTATTCATGTTATGGATATTGGAATTTAATTCAAATTTATTTTTGTTGTACACAACAAATAAGAGAAGCGATAGTATGTATTGTGATTGAAGAGGGAGAATTTTTAATTTCTTAAATAAATCTCTACATGAATCTCTACTTCTATGTCCTGTAATGATTCTAATTATATTCTTTTGTATCTTAAAAATTTTTACACTATGTGAAGAGTTCCCCCAGAATATTAATCCATAGTTCATAATAGAATGAAAGTAGGCATGGTAAACCATCTTCAGTGTTTCCTGTGGCATAAAGGGCTTAATCGATCTCATTGCATAGCAAGCTGCACTTAATTTAGGTATAGTTCGTTCTATATGTATTTTCCAAGACAGTGTACTGTCTACATGTATTCCAAGGAATTTTGTATCAGGTG